TCACTCCAGACGCAGAGGAAGTTTGTAAGCAGATCTAATGAGAAAGAAAGGGGAAAGCTGATAGGAAGGTGGCTTTGATCAAGTGAGGAGGAGTGAACGGATCCTGGGTAGCTTTGTCAACCGGAAACAAGCTAAAGTCATCTGAGAACAGCAACCTAACTAAAAAAAAATGCCTCCATCAGACTGCCTGTAGGCATCCGTAAAGGCACTTACTGATTAACGATTGATGTGGAGGGCCTAACACTGTGGTGGGGCCACCCCTGGGCAGGTGGTTCTGGGTGGTGTAAGAAAGCAGGCTGAGCAAGTCACGAGGAGGGAGCCAGTAAGCAGCTCCCCCACGGCCTCTACTTCAGTTCCTAAGCTCTTCTCCACTTTCCCTCATCAGGGATGGTAACTTGTAAGGTGAAATCAACGCCTTCCTCCAAGTTGCTGTCAGTCATGGTGTTTTATCACAGCAACAGAAACCTAAGACAGTTACTGTTATCCACTTTTTAAAAAAGGACTGACATCTTAAAAAACCAAACTGTTAGTGGCCTAAGAGCCACCTCCTTTTCTATCCACTGCCACACTGCGCTCAGACCAATAGAATAAAAGACAAACAAGACAGACTGCAAAGGGCTGAAGCAAAGCTTGCAACATTGCTCAATAGGCAAAGGCACTTGCCTGGTGACTTAAATTTGATACTCAGGAAAGGGGGAAGGAGATTTCAGGCTCCACAAAGTTGTCCAACAACTCCAAAACCATTTTTTTTTTTTAAGGCAGAAGAAAGAAATAGGGATGAATGGATAGCTGGGAAAAAAAAACAAACTATGCCTCCAAATGATAGAGGAGCATGAATTTCTAAACCCGAGAAAGCCCAGAGATAGTTTCTGGCTCCCTTCTCTGTTTCCTTCTGTCCTTCTTCTTTCCAAATGCTCCTCCCATACTAAGGCAGTACTCCACCACACACACCCCACCCCCTTCTCTTACCTTAATGGCTATGTTGTTGGACTCAGTAGCTCCACTTGTGAAAATGATCTCTCGAGGATCAGCTCCAATCAGAGCTGCTACTTGCTGTAAGCCAAGAGCCAAAAATACACAGCATCAGTCCGCAGGCAGGAGTCGGGCTTCAGACACAGCTAGGGCAGGGTTTTGTGGCAGGGGAAGCTCCACTGCAATCTACCCACTGCCCACAAAGAAACTCTGTGCCTACTAGGTCAGACTAGGGCTAAACAAAGAACTGACTGTTACAGCTCAGATATTCTATCCTTTCTCCATGCTGGGACAGGCTAGTAAGAATGTCGAATGTAGCTCAGCTGCTAGAGGGCTTGCCTGATATTGATGAAGCCTTGGGTTTGATTCCGAGCACTGAACACACCAGGTACGGTGGTGTGCACCTGAGATCACAGCACTCAGGAGGCGGGGGTGAGACAGCTGCCATGAGGTTGAGGCTAGCCTGGGATACACAGTGACTTCCAAGCCATCGTAGAGAAGAATGTGAAACTGGTCGCAAACAACCAAAGCAGGGAGCCAGTGAGACGGATCAGTGGGTCACGACACTGCTGCAGAACCTGACAACCAAGGTTTCATTCGCTGAGACCCGCATGCTAAGGAGAGAGCCTGCTCCAAATTGTCCCCTGACCTCCACACTACATATTTTGGTACATTTGTGTACACATACATGCACACAAGCAAGCACATGCATGCACACACATTTCTAATTGAAAATTATTTTTTGCTGGGTAGTGGTAGGGCACACCTTTAATCCCAGCACTGGGGAGGCAGAGGCAGGTGCTATCTCTGTGAATTCAAGGCCAGTCTCGTCTAGAGAGTAAGTTGCAGGACAGCCAGGGCTGCACAAAGAAACTCTGTCTCAAAAAAAACCAAAACAAAACAAAACAAAAAATTTTTTGCTTGGTGTGGTGGCACACATCATAAATCCCAGTGCTCTGGAGGCAGAGGCAGAGGCAGGTGGATCTCTGTGAGTTTGAGGTTTGAGGCCAGCCTGGTCTACAGAGTGAGTTCCAGGACAGCTCTGGCTGCTACACAAAGAAACCATGTCAAGAAAAATCAAGTCACAACCAACAAAAAATTCTAACTCAATGTCAAGTAAGGAACTGGAGAGATGACTCAGTGGTTAAGAGCACTTGCTGCTCTTGCAGAGGACCCAGTTCCCAGCATCCATGTGGTGGTTCACAACCATCCTTAACTTCCAGTTCCAAGGGATCTGACAGCCTCTTATGGCCTCCTCAGGCACCAGGCATATACACAGGCAAACACATCCATATGCATAAATGTAAAAATAAATATTTTTTAATGACAAGTTTTGTTTTTAAGTTTTTTTTACATTTATTTTTGGTTGGGGGACATTCATGCCACAGCATGTGGATTTTGGAGGATCAAACTTAAGTCATCAGGTTAAGGTACCTATGCAGGCATCCCACTGACCCAAGAAATGCATTTTTTTTTAAAGATTTATTTATTTATTATGTATACAGCATGTATGCCTGCAGACCAGAAGAGGGCACCAGATCTCATTACAGATGGTTGTGAGCCACCATGTGGTTGCTGGGAATTGGACTCAGGACCTCTGGAAGAGCAATCAGTGTTCTTATCCTCTGAGCCACCTCTCCAGCCCCAGAAATGCATTTTTAAAATGTATTTACTGAACTCTTTCTGTACTTTTTGAGCCACACAGAAGTGTTAACCTTTACCAGTACTGTCTCATTTTAATTTGCCCAATAATTGTATAGAGCATGAACTTTTCACTTCACAGGTGAGGATTTTAAGGCTTAGAGAAATGAGATGACTTGGCCAAGGTACTTTACCTGGTGAATATGGGAAGTAATTAAACACCTGCAGTTAAACTCCAAAGCTACTCTCTGAATCTCTCCTAGAAATACAACCATTTCCTAGAAATGCCTCCCCCAGGCCACCGAGCAGGACTCCCCAACTTCTCAGAGTCCTGGTGCTAACCTGGCGAGCATGCTCCATGGCTGCCTCACTCTCCCAGCCATACGCATGCGTCCGAGAATGTGGGTTTCCATAGTAGTTCACAAGGTACGGGAGCATGGCATCAAGCACCCTGGGATCCTGAACACAAGAGAATAGATAGTCAACTGAGAACCTACTCCATCTGCTGATAACCGCCCACCTTGCTCAGTGTATTTCCAACCCCTCAGAGGCTGCCTGGATTCTTCCACCTCCTCACATAGTCAAATAAATATTGACCTGAAATATTCCCACTTCAAAACCACCTTAAACCACAATGTTCTCCTATGCCCTCAAGAAGTTTATAAACAGTCTTTAATATTTCTTTTATTTATTTATTGAAAGATAGGGGTTTAGGTATTTCAGTCTGGCCTTAAATTTTTAATCCTGCTGGGGGTGGTGGTGTACCCCTTTAATCAGAGCAATCAGGAGGGAGAGGCAGGCAGATATCTGAGTTGGAGGCCAGCCTTGTCTATAGAGTGAGTTCCAAGGCATCCAAGGCTATACAGAGAGACTCTGTCTTGAAAATCCACCCGCCTCCTGCCACCCTGCTGAAAAAAAGTAGCAACACTATCTTCTCCTTTTTAAAAAAAAAAAAAATACTTTATTAATTATACGTATGGGTGTTTTGCCTTAGTGTGTGCGAGATACATGTCCTAGTGCCCTGCCCATAGAGTCCAGAAGAGGGTGTCAGATTCCCTGGAACTGAGAGATTCGACTGCCTTTGCCTCCTGAATGCTGGGAAAAAAGGCATGCGTCACCACTGCCCAGGCCATGTTTGCTTGCTTGCTTGCCTGATTCCTTCCTTCCTTTCTTCATTTCCTTCTTTTTTTTTTAAACATAGGTTTGAAGCTCCCTATGTGGCCCAGGCTGGCCTTGAGATCACTTAAACTCCCCAGGCCACAAGTCCAGCTCCAAGGCCTGAGCATTTACTAATAACTACAATACCTGTAACTGAAAGCGATTTGACCAAAGTCAATAGCTAAAAAAGCAGTAAAGCCTTTTCTAGTGAACTCAAATCCAAGTCTCCTGGTGCCTGGCTCCCTTTCTATCACATTTAATGGTTCTCAATTCTACAGAAATCTAACCTTTCGGTGAAATTTGTTCTTCTAATCTTTCCTCCCTTCAAAGAGCCTCGAGGAAAGCTTCCCCTTACTCCTTACCAGAGGAGTTGTAGCCTGCACATCCATGTAGAGAGGTCGGAGCACCGCCTCTGAGGGAACAGCCGAATGGAGAGCATGATCTGCAACTGACAACAGAGTGGAGTGCCAAAGTGAGAAACGATGCAACCGTGGACGCAGGGTACACAAGACAACAGACGGTCAAAGCTACTTCGAGGTGAACTAAGGAAGAGTGCGGTCAACGGTCAAAGGAAAAGAAAACAACGCAGGAAAGTAACAGACACAGGGTTCTCTGAAGGGATGTTGGTGGCAATAGGGAGCAATCTTCACCACTGGGAAGCTATCCAGCAGAGTGGATGGGCTCTAAAAAGCAAAAACATTTATAAGAAACGTGAAAAGCGCAGGTTCCTTCAAAGTTTCATGGCTGGAGGAGCCTCAACTAAAATCTTTAACAGTTGGTCAGGAGAGATCTGAAGGACGAGAGCCGTGAAGGATGTAAGGGCCGTCCTGAGAACATGAGAGAGCAAGCGACGGATGGTTTAGAGCCTGGGCAGACAGGCTCCGCAACAACGCAGTGCTGAGCAGCAAGGACCCAACGGCCTCGGGCGACCAGGGAGAGAAGGCGCTAAAGGGAGGGGAGCGTACCGCGCAGGCGCAATCCCCGGGTGGGCGCCGTGAACCTCGGCCGGGCTACTGCGGTAGCAGCCAATGCCGCCCGCCTCCAAGCGGCTCGCAGCATGCTCCCAGCAGTAGAGCCCACCATCCTCAGCGCTTGCAGGTCCTCAGCCCATGATCCCGGAAGTAACTGCCCCGCGCTCCGGAAGCGATCCGACGGGCGGCGAGCGCCCTCCGCCTAGCTTTCGGTGTGAGACGTAGAGCCCAGCGAACGCGGCGGCGAACGAGGTGAGGTGGGGCCGGCCCGAGCCCTGCGCCTCGCGTGCGGGGTCCTCGGCCCGGGGAGGGAGGTGGAGAGGCGTGCGACAGCTGGCTTCTGGCCCGGGTCCTGCGGAGCCCTTCCGGGTGCCTCCGGCTGACGCCACGACTGGCGGCCGGGCCCTCACTGTCCTGGCCCTCTCACCCCAGATGCCGGTGGCCGTGGGTCCCTACGGGCAGTCCCAGCCCAGCTGCTTCGACCGTGTGAAGATGGGCTTTGTCATGGGTTGCGCCGTGGGCATGGCGGCCGGGGCGCTGTTCGGCACCTTCTCCTGTCTCAGGTGAGCCTCGCGGGCGGGACTTCCTGGATTCCTCGGAGGGAGAGCACACTTAGTTGAGGTTGGAAGCGCAGTGCTTAGGGATCTGAGCTCTAGTCAAAATGGCTTTCTGACTCCTTTGTAGTTCGGTGACCTTAGGCAAGTTAGAGGCAGAGTTTCCTCAGCTGTAGTCGAGGACACTATGCTTACCTCCACTTTTGTAAGAACCAATCATATTAGTATGCCTTACATATGATCTGGCACATCGTTAATGCGCAGTGGGTTATTATTGTTCCATGGCATTTTAACTTCCAACTGCGTGTAATGAAACGAGCTTGTTGAGCTGTTCTACTGTCCTGAAAATAAGGTGTAGAGATAAAGCCGATAAACTTAATTCTGTAGTCAAATATTCTACCTCTGATATACTGTTATTCTAAAGCCCATCTCCACATTTGGGTAATGTACTTATAAATTACTGTTTATTCAGTACTGGTTAAATGAATGTACTAAATAGTGTAGTTTGTAAGCGTAATGATGTTCATTTTACACTTTACACAGCTTATAAATTGCCGAGCTTGATTTTTTTTTTTTTTTTTTTTTCTTTTTTCGAGACAGGGTTTCTCTGTGTAGCTTTGCGCCTTTCCTGGAACTCGCTTTGGAGACCAGGCTGGCCTCGAACTCACAGAGATCCGCCTGGCTCTGCCTCCCGAGTGCTGGGATTAAAGGCGTGCACCACCACCGCCCGGCCAACCGAGCTTGATTTTTAATCTGGGTTAAACTCCAAAAATAAACTAAAATCATCTAGAAGACAAATGTCTATTGAATAGCATCACAGTCGTGACTGCTTTTCATGTCCATATACTTAATTCTATAACTCTTCCTTCTACAAACAGAAGGGAATTAATGTGGCATTCAGGACATAATGTCCTAGAGCCCTTAGATCTTTTCCTTGACATTACTAATCCTCCTTGGGGAGAGTAACATCTTAAGAATGACAAGAAACCGGGCGGTGGTGGCGCACATCAGGAGAATCTCTGTGGAGTTCAAGGCCAGCCTGGGCTAAAGTTCCACGAAAGGCTCTGAAGCTACAGAGAAACCCTGACTCAAAAAACAAAACAAAAGACTGAGGCCAAGGGATTGTCAAGCTATTAGTGCTTGATATAGTTCAACACTTATTATAAAGGGGGTAGTTAATTCAAATTTCATTCCTGTACTATTCCTAAAATAACCCATTGTTGCTTGCCTCCTCAGGATCGGAATGCGAGGTCGAGAGCTGATGGGTGGCATTGGGAAAACCATGATGCAGAGTGGCGGCACCTTTGGTACATTCATGGCCATTGGAATGGGCATACGATGCTAATTAGGGCAGTGATTGCCTGCACCTACATTTCCCCATCCATTTTGACCCTTGTACAATAATAAAGTTTTTTTCTTCTCAGACTCCTATTTTTACTCCAAAAGACATAGTATTTAAAAGCGTAAGCTGAAGAGGTTGCACAGTCCTGATATCCATACGGTTACTCTACTTTCTGTAACTCCAGTTCCTTGGGATCTTCTGGCCTCTACAGGCACCATGCACACATGGTACACCTTGAGTACATGCAAGCATACCACTAGTACTTAAATCTCAAGAAAGACTTGTTAGCATACACATCTAATAGCAGCACTCCAAAGATGGAGGTAGCCGTTGCTAGACAGGCCCATACAAAACGATTCTTAACTATTTGAGCCAATAAAAATGCAGATTCCTGGCTGGATGATAATGGTACATGCCTTTAATCCTAGCTCTTTATAGGGAGAGGCAGGAGGATCTCTTTGTTAGAGGCCAGGCTGTTCTACAGGCCTGAGTTCCAGGACAGGCTCCAAAGATACACAGAGAAACTGTCTCAAAAAAAGTTTTCACAAGTCCTGCTTCAGTTGATCAAATACTGTAAACAGTTCTTTGTTGGTAAACAAAAGTATACAATTAGAGCAAGATCACACACAGCAACTGTCTTATTTATAATAGAACATTGTATATCCTGAGATTGTCTTTCCAGCTTCAGAATGACTTATCTGCTATGAAAAACACTTGAAACGGCCTGTCTTCTCAACTACCTACATCATCTCATATGACCTTCTAACTAGCCTAAACATTGGACGTTTTAATTACGTACCGTGCTCATAAAATTCTGCTTACTGGGTTAGTTAATGGGATACAAGACCTGATCGGTCTTGTTAAATTTTCTGATTAGTACGCTTCACCTATATATTGATCAGAACTTGGATAATTAGCCAATATAATAAAAATACAGAAGTCTTAAGTGTTTTGAGAGCATATTGAAAAATTAAGGCTTAGCAATTAGATTTTTCCCTTCTTTTTTGAGACAGGATTTTGGTGTAGTTTTGGTGCCTGTCCTTGATCTCGCTCTGTAGACCAGGCTTGCCTCGGAGATCCGCCTGGGTCTGCCTCCCAGGTGTTTGGATTAAAGGTTAAAGGCGTGCACCACCACCAACCAGCTTCAACTTCAGATTTCTTACCAAAGAGGGATACAATTGCAGTTACCCAGCAGAATGAACACTTGAAAATGCACTCTGAACAATGTTATTCAAGAAACAACTTTTACTCCCATTTACCCCTCCCAACCTGGGTTTATTATCTACAAGATAAGGTGTGCTGGCTGGCAAGCTTGGACACTTGGTTAAACTGATGTGGTCATACTTGTTACATTAGCTACCTTTAAAAGAATTGACATGCTATGAAAGGTCAAGTGGTCCACTGGAAGCCATATTGACTATTCTGAAAAATTTAATAGGCAGGAAAGAGTAGAGGCTCAGTGGTTTACAATGATCATTGCTCTCACAGGACCTGACTTCAGATCCCAGCAACCACTTTGTGACTCACAACCATCCATAAACCTAACTCCAGGGGACCTCCACAAGCACCAAGTATGAATGTGGTGCACATTAACAAATATGTTGACAAAATACTCATATAGCATTAAAATTATTTTAACATAGGGTTAGGACAGATGAAGAGCAAGGAGCTGAGTTTGAGGACATCTTGATTTTCATATAACAAATTCCAGGACAGTCAATACTACAGGGAGGCCCAGCCCAAAATAAAATTAAAAAGACTTCTAGGATTTGAAGGAATGCAGTGATCGATTTTAAGGCTATCTGAGCTCACATTTGGCAGACACATCAAAAGATCATATACCAGTAATCTTTGTACAGGATTTAAGACAGAACTCAACTCTACCAAATAGAAAAGCATTTGCCCTAACTACCACTTATGAAACTACTGTGCATTGTAGATCAGGTTAAAAATTTTCCAACCTTTTTGATAGAATAAGAATAATGATAAATGCAGAGCAGTTCCAGAGAATTCCCAAGAGGCGGATTTTTTTTTTAAACAGGACATACCTTGGGGGCGGATTTTTTTTTTTAACAGGACATACCTTGGGGATAGTATACACCAAGCATGGGATGTGACTTATGATAGAAATATATTTCCCTCACTGTGAAATACTCCAAGTATTACTAAGAATCAACCAAGTTAATACTTGGTTATGTGTGCTGACACATGTGTCTATCTTCACAACAATCCAGAGGCAGAGACAATAACATCTTCAAACTGTGATAAACCTAAACAATAATGCTGAGACACTAATTTGAAAACAAAACAAAAACCACTACAGCTCAGGTTTGTAACAGCAAAACATTTGAAAAACGAAAGTTTTCTTGTGACCTTTTTCAGAGAATTTTATTTGTGTGGTTCTTACAAAGATTGTTGCAATATGAAAGTCATTTGTTTGATAGAAATATCAAGCTGTCTTGTCAAACACACTGAAGTAACCCAAAAATATATTTCAGAGCTCACAGAGCTTAAAAGAGCAAAGATTATATGCAACCAGACAAAACCTATTTCTGCATTTCCTATCTCTTCCCCAGACTGCTTTGCTCAAACTGTTACATCAACCATCTTCAGGAAATGCAGGGATCATTTTGTTTGGAATCTCAAGACACACTAAAACACACAGTATTTACAAAGAAACTTTTACAGATACATTAATTGAAAAGTTACCATCAAGAAATATAATTTTGAAATCCCCTTCTTGCCAAATGATCAAGGTGAGATGCTAAAGAGCGTCTTGGCTGCCTAGACTTTTCAAAACTAAATGTACATTCCAGAAACCTTTGCTGAACCATGAGCCAATACATGAAGGAATGTGAAATCTAAGTGCTGTGTAAAAAGTCAGGCTTCTGGAACATTCAAACGTTACCTGTCTGCTTTTACACAGAAAGCACATGTTTCCCTAGAGCTATTCTATAGATCCTTAATGTAATTTTCTACATGGACATTTAAAACGGCAGAACAAGCAAACAGCTTTGCATAAAGTAGGATTTGCTATTTAGGGAGAATGAGCACACTGCATTCCTGTTAACATTTTTATTTTTCAAGATAACAGGAGTTGTATACAAATGACAGTAGACCCTTGCCTCTTTATTTTTATCTAAATAAAAGATAACTCAAGATGAATTCTCAAGAAAAAAAAAAAGCTATATACATAAGGGACTATATCTTCCTTCATCGTCTACTTGGAACCAGTAGTTGTGTTGCTGTCATAGAATCTGGAAAGAGGTTGTGGTAAGTTGGAAGAGGTACATACGCTGCAGTTATCATTTTACCTGTTGACAAAAAGAAAAAAATGTTCAGTAAGCCACTTTGACTTAATCACTTGGTGTCCAACATTAAGTGTCTGTAGTAGTTACTCACCAGCAAACCATCTACCATGCAATGCATTGACAGCAGCAATAGCTGCAGCAATAGATGGGCACTTCACATACACATTGCCCTAAAAGTATAAAAAGAAAAAAGTAATAAATAAAATTGAACATTGCATTGAACACACAATCTCACAAATTTACTAAAGTCATTTGCAGAAACTTAGGACTGTATATTCATTCTAACAACTTATGATCAATTCCTCGAATGTTTCGGAAAATGTGATTTTTTTTTTTTTTTTTTTTTTTTGGAGCCAAGGATCGAACCCAGGGCCTTGCGCTTGCAAGTGCTCTACCACTGAGCTAAATCCCCAACCACGGAAAATGTGACCCCGGTATTGTTCTTCTCATTGATTGTTTGTTTTTTGTTTTTTAGAGACAGGGTTTCTCTGTGTAGCTTTGCGCCTTTTCCTGGAACTCACATGATAGCCCAGGCTGGCCTCGAACTCAGAGATCCCCCTGGCTCTGCCTCCTCAGTGCTGGGATTAAAGGCGTGGGCCACGACTGCCCAGCCTTCTCTTTGATTTTTATCCCTAAACCCCTATTGATTTTTAAATAAAAACTAAAGAAGCTGTAGGAGTTCAACGGCACCCGCTATAAATGAACTGATCTATAACACAACCCTTATCAAATTTCAATTACTTTGACCATGCCTTTCTTTTGGAGGGTATGTTTACTTATTAGCACACTGAAGTTTCCTTCAGGAATTACCAATAAGCAAGCATAGTGCATTATCACAGCACATGCATTAACAATGCATTGAAAACAAAAAACAACAACAACAACAAAAAAAAAATCCAAAAAAAAAAAAAATACCCCGCCCACGCTGGGCGGTGGTGGCACACGCCTTTAATCCCAGCACTCGGGAGGCAGAGGCAGGTGGATCTTTGTGAGATCGAGGACAGCCTGGTCTACAGAGCCAGATCCAGGAACGGCGCAAAGCTACACAGAGAAACCCTGTCTCGAAAAACAAACAAACAAAAAACCCCGCCCCCATAAAAAACAAACAAACAAACAAAAAACTAGGGAAATATGGTGACAACAACATGCCCTAATTGTGTCAAAAGTAAGATACAAAACAAAATAACATATTTAATCTGTTTACTTAAAAATACGGCCGGACAGTGATGGCAGATCCTTCAAGTCCCAGCACTCTGGACTACATAGTGAGGCCTAGGACAGGCAGAGCTTCGTAAGGAAACCATGCCTCAAAAAACAAACCAAGCAAACAAAACACAAAGATCCATAAACAAAGAGGAAAAAAAATCAAAATACCTGAGCTGAATTTTTGTCAACATAAATATGAATAACTCCTCCATGTTTATTACATTCTTCAATCACATCATCTTTAATCTCTGTATCCCATCCAACTTCTTCTTCTCTGTAAGAAGGTTTAAAAAAGTAAAATTTATATTAAAATATAGCAGTAAAAGTGATTAAGTACTTTATCTGTATGTGTATGGCAATGTATGTGGAATCCCTCATATAAGAGGGAGTCCATTCCCTCTTGCACTATATGAATACCAGGAATCCAAAATGTAATCCTCAGAGTAGACAACAAGCACCTTTACTCACTGAATCATATCTAATCTGCCTGCCATCATGTATTAAGTCTCTTTGAGAACCACAGCAATTAAACTGGGCTGGCTAACCAATGAGCTCACTCGATGAATCTAACCATTTTATACCAATCTCAAAATTGCCATTCATGCAAACTTGGCAAGTACTTTACATTCTAAGCCATCTTCTCTGTACCTTAACATTTATTCTTTACATTTAAGATATCTAACGGGATAAAGCATAAACACGATGTAGAAGAGGCTCCATTACAGGTTCAGCTTTAATGCCATTTAAAAAAAATTACTGTGGAGCTGTAATTTTTGTGGAAATGACTCAGCAGTTGAGAGCACTTGCTGCTCTTGAAGAGGACCTAGGTTGGGTTCACAACACCAACTTGGCTACTTAAAAACTGTAAGTCCAATTCTGGGCAATGTAACACTTCTGCACCTGCAGGAAGCAGGTATGCAATATATATATAAACTCATACATAAATAAGCAAACACTGATACACGGAAACATTGATGGAAAAAATTCAGAACACCATCAAACTAGAAGCTGAGGATGTATAGCTTAGTTGGCAAAATGGATGCTATATAGTGACCACAATTCTACACAAAGAACCAGTTTCTGGTGTGCAGAAACGCCTCTATAATCCTAGTTAGGAGGCAGATGAACATGGTCTTTTTAACCTGCTGGCCATCCACATGGTACACACATACCCAAGTCACAGTCCTTAGCTAAAGAGATTTTTGTCTTGAAACAAAAGATAAATCATCAAACCAAAACACCAAAGTGGATGATGCCAAAAAAATAAAACCAAAGGTTGAACTCTAGCATCCACATACTTAAGTACACAAGGAAATATTAACATAAAAATTGTTTAATTACTAACCCTACACAGTTAAATAAAATTTTCTAGTATTTGAATGATAGAGGACTCTGTGATCTTTGTCAGTGGAAAAACTGCCACACATGCATGACTAGTACAAAAAATAAATAAATAAAATCTTAATAGTAAATTGGATGGAGTAGATAGCTCAGTGGTTTCAGTGGTTAACAGCGCTTGCTGTTCTTACAGAAGACCTAGGTTCACTTTCTACCCACAATCATCCTTAAAGACATTTCCAAAAGGAGGCTAGAGAGATGGCTCAACAGTTAATAGCACTATGTGTTCTTCAGAGGCCCGGGATTCAATTCCCAGCACATACATAGCAGCTCATAACGTCTGTAACTCCAATGCCAGGGAAATCTAGTACCTTCACACTGGCATGCATACAGGTACAACAACAACACACATATTGATAGTAAAAGGTTGTAGGCAGAAATTTTACAATTACCACAGCTTTAAATTTCAGCCTTACTATATGTCCAAATAAAATACAAATTTAATAATAAGGTCAACTATTAAATCTAACACTTTTTCAATTATGAAATATTTAAAAATATTTAAAATGGCAAATTTGTAAGCATACTTACGTTTGAGGGTTAAACATGTTAGAAAGTTGGAAACACTGTGTTGCCAGTGGTTGAACAGATGCAGCTGCAGCTAAAGCTGAGGCTAAAAAAGAATAAGAAAAATTAGCTTCTTGGAAAATGTGTAAATATCCCTGGACAATTACCTAAAACCAAAAATCAATCCTATCTTAATGTGGAGGAGATAGTATAAAATAACCTTCTTCAACAACAACAAAAAAAGTTGCTCACTTTATCATTTGACCTTAACACAATAGTAAAGCTAAGCATGATGACCTTAAATCATCTTTAGCTTCACTTATTATAATTGGTAACACGATGTATACATACTCAAGTGTTATATAGAGAATAAGACAGGGAAAAGAGTGCAGACACAAGTTTGGTACAGGTGCAAATATAGTTCCCTAAAATTTCAGGACCTGGGTTAGCTTAGTTGTTAGAGCATCTCTAGAAGGCATGAAGCTCTGGGTTTGATCCTCAACATAACATAAACTGGGTGCATCTATAATCTCAGCCTGAGGATGGTAGAGGTGGGATGATCAGAAGTTCAAAGTTACCCAGGCCAAGAAACCAAGTTCTACAGGATGGAATGCACTATATGAAACCCTGTCTCTAAGAAAGCTAACAAAAACTGTATTTAAAACGGGGCATAGTAGTGGTCACATTTAATCCCAGCACTTGGGAAACATAGGCAAAAGGATCTCTTAAGAGTTTTATCAAATAAATTCTAAGATAGCCAGGACTACACTTTCTGAAACCAAACCAACACCACGTGGGCTTGAGGACAGATATTTAGTCTAAATCTATTTAATCAAAACAAAATGAAACAAAAATCCCAACACAAATCTTTCCAGAACAAAAAACAGAGTAAAATAAGAAGATTGAGTTGATTCTCAAATGATGGGAGTGATACAAAATAGTTGTTGGAAAACACCATTGAAAGCATCACACTTCTATTTGTGTTGTTTTTGCCAAGAATATATAATTGTTTTTTTTAATGATATATATATGTATATTTTAGATTTCCGTGGAAATACAAGTGCCCTTAAACTCAGCCATCTCAACAGCACTTGAAGATGTATTTTTATTTTCATCTACGTGTATGAATTATTCGCCTGCATTCATGTGCACCACAGGGATCTGTTGACCTCAGAGGCAAGAAGGGCATGTCAGATACCCTGATACTTGCTTCATACTGTTGTGGATTCTGGGCAGCCAACCTGGGTCTTGCAGCAAGGGCCTAAAGTACACTAAAAGCAATCTCTACGGTCCAATTTTTGTTTCAATACATGAACCTTAATGAGTAACTTTTAAAAGGAAAAAGTAGAAAAACAGAACCAGAAAGAGCAGCTTATCTATGGTATGACTATTATAATTTGAGTAAAACATACTGTAATACTCAACCTTAAAGTATAATAGCTGTGGCTAAATAAGCACTTTTTCCAACTTAGGGTTACAATGGTTTCTATTTGGCATTCTTTCAGATTGGGTTTTCTGTTGTTGAGACAGGGTCATGTCCCTCCAGCTTTGGGTGAATTACCAAAGATATTATAGCTGCTGTTACAGAACTCACCGTAATCATATTATCTGACCAAATCCCATTCCAATAAACAGCTAAGGATAAAATAATACATTAAGAAATCGAAAAAACTGAAACAGATAATCACCTAAAGTATCAAATAAATTGTACTGAACAAAATGTTACACAGCTATAAATGAAATAACATTACAAAAATTAAGAATTTGCCGGGCGATGGGGGCGCACACCTTTAATCCCAGCATTCGGAAGGCAGAGCCAGGCGGATCTCTGTGAGTTGGAGGCCAGCCTGGACTACCAAGTGAGTTCCAGGAAAGGCACAATGCTACACAGAGATACTCTGTCTCAAAAAAACAAAACAAAACAAAACAAAAAAATTAAAAATTATTCTGGTAATTCTGTGTTTTCTGGTAAAAGAAAAAGTGCTTTTCCTTCTTCAATATTCAAGAAAAAAAAAGGTGTTTTTTTTTTCCCCCCTCAGAGAATTGAGAAGCCTTTTCCTTATATTTCCTTCTGTGCCAAATACTACCTGGCATAGTCGAAGAGGTAGTAAGTCCTAAAGGGCTACTTAGGAATCTAAGTAGAACTGCTTAAGAAACACAATAAAAATACAATTTAAAAACAAAACCTGCCAAGTTCTGGTGGCACATGCCTTTAACCTCAGCACTTGGAAAGCAGAGAAAGGCAGAACTCTGAGTTCGAGGCAAGCCTGTCCTACGGAGTTGAGTTCCAGAACAGCAAGGACTGCTAAAGAGAAACCCTGTCTTGGGAAAAAAAAAAAAAAAGAAAGAAAAACAAAATACCAAAACAATAAAAACAAAGCATCAACCCACTGTATATAATTAAAGACGCAGGCTCTACGAGGCAGAGTAATGCAGAGCTGAGTTCCAGGCCAGTCTGTTCTACATACATAGTTCCAAGACAGACAGAGCTACACAGCGAAACCCTGTTTCCCATAAATAAATAAATAAATAAACAAAGAAGTATGCATAGCTAAAAAGTTTTAAGAAAGCTGAAGGGAACTACTGAATGATTATGACTACTAAGATCAAGTAAACCACAAAATGACCTTTCTGGCTTAAGTGATGCAGCATGCAGAAACATAAATCTAATTTTGATTTGATAAAAATGTTAAAATAATTAAAAAAGCAGTAACTAGAAATGTGGCACTTGCTTAAACTTGAAATACATTTAATACTCATCTAAAATATAACAAAATGTTTTTCATAGGATCATTATTTAAAAAAAAACAATAATCATGCTACTCTAAAGGTGGTTCCAATTGGGAACAATAAAATGCTTTTTCTGACCTGAGGTAGATTTCATAATTAAAGACATCATTGCCTATTTGCCATCATTTCAATATGCATGTAATTTATGAAAACTTATGACCCCATTCATGGCTTGATACTACAGCTACTACAAACCAGTAAGTATAACAGTATCAGACATTTAACCCTCACATGACTACAAACTTAAGAATAAGTCTGATCTGCTAAAATATTGAGAATACTTTACTTTCTTTTACGTTAACCTTACAATTAGAAGAAAGCATGATAGGAATACAAGACTAAGTTCCTGCTCTTGTTTTCTTAAGTGTCAAGCACAGTCCTCTACCAGGGATCAAACAACTAAAGCTCAAGGCTGAAAAGCTCAAGCAATTCCAAACAAAAATAACCACAGACATTTCTATGTTTTTTGACTGTGTTAGATTTTAACTAGCTTATATTAAACGGAAAAATTATATCCAAACAAACATTAACAATTTCATCTTTGTATATTTTATTATATACCAAAAATTTAAAAAGGTGAAAAATAAAGAACTCACCTTCAGTCTGTTGGGAAAGTCGTGTTTGCAAATCTATAACAAAAGAGAATTCTACAGCTCAGTGCAGGAACAATGAAGAGCCTCAACTAACAGGGTAAATGTCAGGAAAGTATTAATAAAAGAGGACTTCAACAGCAGGGTTTATTAGAATAAACTTAGCAAAACCTGGCAGCAAAACCTCCTTCCCCATTCCTCATTGACAAGGCTTTGGGGCCTTTTGTTACCTCTAATCCTAGAAAATTATTCACCTCTCCTCTAATTCCTAGTACATGCTTCCTTATCATACATGTGTTCCATTACGATAACACGCCTAGAAATAATGGGAAATGGGGAAAGGGGAGCACACCAGTTAGAAAATATGTGAAATACCCTGATTGAGAATTCAATTCCAAGTACTTTGGAAAATAAGACTTTTTAAAATAATGGTAATCAGCATTAAGTATTTCAGAAGGTTATATTGAAATTGTAAGCGCATCAACCACACACATCTAATAGCTAGGACCATCTTTGCTTAGTGCCCAATTTAGCATTAATCAGGAAAGACACCTTTGTCACAATGTGGAACTTATGTTTTTTAAGAGCTTCTGAGATTCAACCTGTCAATGATTTCTAGCACAGGTTAACAATTTGGTCACAGTTCATCAAAACAAAATCCAAAATCCTGTATTACTGCCAAGCTACCATGGCTAATAAACATCGAAGTTCTATTTGGGACATAAGAAGACCAGAGAAAATAAACATGTAAGGAAATCTAAAGCCCAGTTTATTGGGTTAAAACAGCAGGGCCCTTGGGGCTAAAAACTGGCCTATCAGTGAGCTGAAGGAATGCAATATATGTATACTAAGTGAATGTGAAGATGTTAATACAGGCACAATGTCAATAACTTCAAATACAATGTCTTTTTCACTCAAAATAAGTAAAATGTATACATCAGAGACTGATGCTATAAAGTACCAATCACAATTATAATTTTAAAAATAACCTGGCTACTTCTAATACATTAGAAAACAAATTGTATATCATACACAGGGTAAACTTGTATTATCTAAGGGTGTTGAAATATTCCTTAAATCCAGAAGTTTAAGTCCAGCATCAGCTGCATTAAGTCACTTTAAGAGTAGCTTGGGCTATATAGACAAGACTCTAAATGCCTCTACAAGACTCTACCTCAAAAAGAAAATGCCAAGAGGCCTAAGGCTGAGGAAATAGGATAGCACTGAGTTGGGGGATATAGAATGAGACTAAGGCAAACCAGGGACATCCAGTAACATCCTGTCTACATAATGATAATCTGGATATAATGCTAATACGGAAATGAGAAGGCTGCAACCTGACTGCCTCATTTGGATCTCACCTCAAAGTAAGTAAATGCAACTAATGAATTCTCTTTAAACATGTATGGGTATCTTTGCCTGAATGTATGTCTATGCAACATGGGTGTTCCTAGTGCCTTCGGGGTCATTTCCCCCAGAACAGAACTTAATAGTTAGCTGTGAGCCATCAGGTGGGTACATGGACTACAACCCAGGTGCCCTGCAAAGAATAGTCAGTGCACTTGACCCATGAGGCCATCTTTACAGCTCCTACATCAAAGAGCTTTACTAATAAGCACCAGGACAAAACATCCTGAGGGTTAAGTATAATGTCTTATGCAGGATATGGGATACCACAGGGTAGCCTTGAACAAATCCTAGGAGAGCCTGCTCACGGCAAACAGAACTTGGCTAACGTTATGTGGATTATAGGAGTAAGAAGACCTTGCCAAACCTAACATTATTATTGCTCCTATAAAGGTAAGAAATTAATGTTTAAATGTTTTTCACTAGAGTCCAGTGCAATGGTCCTCAACCTGCAGGGTGAGAACCCTTTAGTGGTTGAACAACCTTTTCACAGGGGTTGCCTAAGACTATCAGAAAATGTAGTTATTTACCTTACAATTCATAACAGCAGCAAAATTACAGTTATGAAGTAGCAACAAAAAGTTTTATGGGTCACCAGAACATGAGGAACCGTACTAAAGGGTCACAGAAATAGGAAGGTTGAAAGCCGCTGCCCTAGTGCAAAACCCACATGATTGAGCATTTTTTTCCCCACATGAGAATTTGACCTTGAAAGAAGGGAAGCAACAAATGAACAATTTTCAAAATAAATGATCTTCTATTTTTGGCGACAGGGTCTCTCTAAATAGTCCCTGTTATCCAAGAGCTCAACGAATAAACCAGGCTGGCCCCCGATAAAAGTGTGGATTGCCACATTTGGCCCCTCATTTTTATAAAGAATAATTTTTATCTTTATGTAGGTGTAGATACCATCATTGTGAATGAATGTATGGCACATGTACGTGGTTGCCTACAGAGATTACTAGAAGTTGTGGGATCTCCTGGAGCTAAAGTATCAGGTAATTGAGCTGTCCCTTGAGTATGCTGGTAACTGAACTGAAATCCTCTGGAAACAACCATACCCAGATAGTTAAAATAATCTTAATATCTGTACTCCAGGGTATTTCTGAAGTAAGTTCACTTCAATTACGGAAAGCAGCTTGATGGACTGGAGAGATGGTTCAGAGATTAAATAAGAGTTCAATTCCAAGTAACCACATGATGGCTCACAACTATCTATATAATGACAACTGCGGCCTTCTTATGCCATGCAGGTATAGATGCAGGCAGAACACTGTATGCATAAATAAGTAATTAAGTAAATAAATAAATAAATCTGGTGGCTCACAACCATCTATATAATGACATTTGGTGCCTTCTTATGCCATGCAGACATAGATGCATGCAGACATAGATGCATGCAGAACACTGTATGCATAATTAAATAAATAAATCTTAAAGAAAAAAAGACAGAAGCCTGATGTGACTATTAATTTGTTAAAAAAAGCAAACCTTAATGTTTTAAAATTCAAAAGCAGAAACACAGGTAACAGTATTTGTGGAAGGTTACAACATATTACTTACAGAAATGCCTTACTGACTTTTGCCCCCCTCATAATTACATTGTAATTACAAAGTAAGATTTCAAGGTCGGGCACATAGTTTGACCAATAAAATAGGTTCTTTCTGGCTTTTAAAAATGTGAAAGAATGTAAAGACAAGGATCGCCAACTTCATTTCTTTCTTTTCTTAAAATAATTTAAAAAGCTGGGCAGTGGTGGCGCACACCTTTAATCCCAGCACACGGGAGGCAGAAGCATGTGGATCTCTGTGATTTTGAGGCCAGCCTGGTCTCCAAACCGATTTCCAGGAAAGGCGCAAAGGTACACAGAGAAATCCTGTCTCGAAAACTTAGAACAGTAACTAACATACTTTTATCAATTAGAATTTCTGAACATCTGTGTTTAAAAACAAGGTCAGACTCTGCATCTAAGGCTGGCCTGGAATCATGGTAATGCTGCGTGATTACCCCAAAACTGTTATTACAGGGTCTTCAACATCATACCTAGCTACAGTATCTCCTTCATGTCTCATGTACAGTTCTATCCAGGACATATCAAAAATCAAACATTATGACATGGTCCTAGACTTAGGACAATGTCAATCTCTTTTTATGATTTATTTAATTTCTGTTTGTATAGACTTTTGCCCGCGTGTGGATATCTGTGAAATCACATGTATCTGTGGCCTACAAATATTAGAAGACATAGGTGTGCCAGTACTAGAGTTATTAGATGGCTGTGAACACACACACACAAAACCTTTTCCTCTCTAATTTGCTCTTGTCAGGGTATATAATCATAGAAACGTGAAAAGTAAACATCAAAAACTTAGAAAGTCAGCTTCACAGCATTACTGGTAATGCAGCTATCGAAGCAAAATTTAATTTTAACTACCTGGGCATTTTTAAACATTAACAGTAATTACTACACTTGAGATGTTTCCATAGCTTCACAAGGCACTCTGGCTAGTATATAAATATACTAAAACTACTCTTCTTTTGCAACCAATAAGATGCTAGAAGTACTTAATGAATTGAATTCTCAGTTAGTCCTTTCAAATGCAAAAAATTTGGCATAATTTCGAATTAGGTGAAAAAACAAATGATTTCAAATTAGCAAAGATTCAATTCCTACCTGCCACAGCACCAAATGCCAAAGAGCCACTCATTTGTAAAGCCTGCTGTGCTGCTGGTGGGATCTGCAGTCCTGTACCTGTAAAAGAACGAGTCTTCAAGTTCTTACTGTGTTAACACCACAGAAACCCAATTTGGGGGAGTTTACACTATGTGCTCAACTCATAGGCAACAAGCAAATGGTTCTATACTACTACACCTCACTATTACCAAGGCTGCTTGCTGTGGGATGACCTTCTGTAGCCTGTGTATGTATGTTGCTCTCATTGGTTGATAATAAAAGCTGATTTGGCCATAGCCAGGCAGAATACGGCTGGATGGAAAAGCTAAATTGAGAACGATGAAAGGAGGCAGTCTGCTAGCCGACTTACAGAAAATGAGGTTAAATGCCACAAATTATGGGGCAAAGCATCTATAAGAAATATGGGTTAATTTAAATGTAAGAACCACCGAGTAGTAAGCCTGAGAGTGATTATCTGGAAAAGGTTGCATGACGGGGTGGGACAAAGAAAAGCCCCCATTTACAACTGATAACCTGCAATCAATCAATCTTTGGTACCCATATGGTAGAAGGATAAAACTTACTCCCCTCATGTGGTGCTCTGACCTCCACCCCCATGTTGTGCCATGAGTATACCCTCAAAATAAATATACAGTCACACAAAATAAAGGTAATTGAGTTCAAATAATCATAACACATTTCTTACTCAGTCTGGTCACTGTAGTACTTACATATACCAATATAAGCACTCCCTAAACCTTCAATACAAGGTGCTGTGGATATCGTTCTGTATAAATAAAACACTGATTGGCCAGTGGCCAGGCAGGACAAGTAGAGAGAATTCTGGGAAGTGGAAGGCTGAGTCAGAGAAACACTGCCAGCCACCGCCATGACAAGCAGCATGTGAAGATGCTGGTAAGCCACAAGCCACGTGGCAAGGTATAGATTTAGAGAAATGGGTTAATTTAAGATGTAAGAACTAGATAGCTAGAAGCCTGGCCATTAGGCCAAACAGTTTAAACAATGTAAGTTTCTGCGTTTACTTGGTTGGGTCTGAGCGGCTTTGGGACTGGCAGGTGACAGAGATCTGTCCTGACTGTGGGCCAGGAAGGAAAACTCTAGCTACAAAAAGGCACTGGAAAAAATATACAACATACTCCTATAGATAAACAGGAACACCAAATAAGACAATCTTTTCTATTTTGTGGTTTGCATGGTTACCTTTCTTTTTCACCACTATATCCATGATAAATCTAACACCAGGTGTGTAAAAATTTTCTTACTAATAAAAAAAGTAGTAATACTATTGAAAACTTACCCTCTGCAAGTCTTGCCATCAATTGGAGACGACCAGTTGTTCCCAAGTCAATTCCAGTCCTTTCTAGTTCGTCACTGTCCAAAAATGAACTAGCACTAGAAGCATCCGTTCGTTCAGTAACATGACCAACTTTCATTGGCCTCCCAGCTAGTTCAAATCCATTAAGCTGTTCCAGAGCTTTCTTGGCACATTCTGAATCAGAAAACTAGAACAGACAACAGAATTTTACAATGGACTAATTTACATTTATATCACTATAGACCAAATAGTACCTTCGAGTGCATTGGTGTTTTGCCTGTGTGTGAGGGTGTCACATCTATGAGTTACAGTCTACGAGTTACAGTTGTGAGCTGGTATGCTGGAAAATGAACTTAGGTCGTATGGAAGAGCCAGTGCTCTTAACCGCTGAGCCATCTCTCCAGCCCGAAATACAAACTTCATAATCTAATATACACTAATTAAAAGTTTATAAAAAATAGAGTATACACGTAAAATAAGAACATAAGTTTTTGCAAATAAAAATGCAACATAGCTTTAAAAAAAAAAACTTTTAAATCCTTCTCTTCAATTTTTAGGCAAGGTGTCACTCTCTGAGACCTAGAACTGACTATGCAGATCAAGCTTGCCTTGAAGTCCTTGAGACACCCCTACTTCAGCCTCTCAATAGCTGAGGTTAAAGGTATGTTCCAACACATCAAGAAATCTGTCCAAATTTGTAGGAGAATCTGCCTGGAGAAGAATGACAGGCACCTAGGAACTTATGAGGGATGTATAACATCATCAGCCCACCCAGTAAATGTACCAAAGATATACTGCTCCTTTAGTATCAAGATTCCTTATATAGTCCTGTACTCTACTTCTAAACAGGTTTAAAACAGGGTTCTTTTTCTTTGTTGCCACAGGATGTCTCATACTGTAATTCTTATGGCCTCAAGGACTATTCTAAGGCCTTCACATTGCAAGAAATGTTGCTGGCTACTCTTTCGGAAGACCTGAGTCAAGTTCCTAGCACAATTAATTCACAATGAGGTACTTAAAACCACCTATATCCTCTTTTGCCTCCCCAAGCACTCATACACACGTGGCACACACCCACACCCACATGAATAAAAATACAGCATTAAAAAAGAATGTTGCCATGAATCATGCCACATATTTTTAACTCCAGCGGTTCCGAAGGAGATCTCTGAGACTATTTACACTCTGAGGTATAGCAAGATTTTGTCTGGCAAAAAGAAAAAACAATTGAGAAGCATATGCCTTTAAGGCTAAATCATATGTATGTGACTTTAAGGCCAGACTGGTATAAATGCAGTTTATGGTATAAATGGACAAATTTTTTTTACATTAATGTTACTTCTTAGAAACAAATTTTAAAAACGCTGTCATATATGTGTGTATACACACACACACAGAGACACACACACACACACACACACATGTATATACACTTTTTTTTCATGCTTTCATGTGATTTTATTTTCTCCCTTCAACCCTAATTTTGTCTTAGCTGGTGGGTCTATGAACACAGACAGGCTTATCTATCCCACTTACAAGCAAGGCAAATACCACTTCCTGAAATGGTCTTACCAGGAAGCCTCTGTTCATCCAACCCAAGTCAGACTTTGCCTGGCTTCATCTTCACTAGATGGTAGGGCTACTTCACTGACTCCCATTCAGACGTTAGTTGACCTTTCCGTGGCTATCATGATTTTGCTGTGCTTTTCACACAGAATGCATCTGACCTTTATTGCGTTGTCACATTTAATATCCTGAGCCTTGTCAGCACTGTTATTCCCAGAAGATACATCTCCTTTCCTGAGTCACTTTTACCCTTCAGCATAATCTTAGCCTTTCCATTGAACTCTCTCCCAATGATGCATATTTTATGTATAATATGTACAGTTATATATTCTGCATAATAAATAGAAAAACCAAATATTTACAAATGGTTGTGTGACATCATGTGAGTTCTTGGAATTGATCTCAAGACCTCTGGAGCAGAGGTCTTTAATCTCTGAGCCATCCTCCAGCCATTAAAAAACCAAGAATTTCTAACTATATAATGCATAAACATTTTATACAAAACCCTATAATACATAAATTATACATAATAGGTATACATATTGTATATATATTTGGTTTTTTGAGACAGAGTTTCTCTGTGTAGTCTTTGCTGTCCTGGAACTCAATCTATAAACCAAGCTAGACTGAAACTCAAGAGATCTGTCTGCCTCTGCCTCAAGTTGTGCTGGGACTAAAGGCAGGAGACATCATCGGCCAGCTCCAATATATTTTTGTAAGAATCTTGGATCCTTTCATCAATAATCTACAATGACTAAAGAGATTATTATTACAGTAACAGTCTCGTGTTTTATTGAAATATAGACAAACAATTAAAATTTACTGACCAAAATATACATGCATTTAAGTATCTCTGGCTCAAGGCTGGTGAGGAAGTCCTCACCTTAAGCTAAGCACTTGGGAGGCACAGGCAGACAGATCTTTGGATTACAGGCCAACCAAAGCTAGATAGTGTGTCAAATAAATAAATGTTATCTATGCCAGGGCCAAGACTTAATTATGTGGTAACATATGTCAAAAAATGGCAACAACAACAACAAAAAGTGTGTGTGTGTGTGTCTATGAGTAACAGCCATGGCTTTCCTGAAACATGCTTTAACTCGTTTTGTTGTTGAGGCTGGCCTTGAACTCAAGAGATCTGCCTGCCTTTGCTGGGATTGAAGGCATTCGCCTACATGCCTGTCAGAAACTACACATTTGAACCGTGTTCTGAAATTTTTAAGAAACAAAGACAAAAACAAGATAAGTTAGTGAGAACAGCCCAGTGGTAGAACACTACTCTAGCTTAACGAATATTTAGGTTTGGTGCCCAAACAAGAGTAGAGTAGTTTATGAAGGCAGATAAGATTATAATACTCACGTGGCCACTTGATAAACCCACTAACATCAACTAGATACCCTAGTTAGACGACAACACAAGTAATGTACTTTGGCAATCATGGATGTGGCTGTAATACATGAACATTTTTACATTGGGAGATGTGGTACCTTAGGCCTAAATTCTAGGACTGGAAGCTAAAATAGTAAGATCACCCTAACTTGCTAAGATGGAATTTTCACAGATCTTCATTTTAACCAGTAAGAGTGTGCCTTTAATCCCAGCAATTAGGAGGCAAAGCAAGTTATCTGTTAATTTGAAGCCAGCCTGGCCTACATGGGAGTGTTCCAGCAGCCAGGGATACAATAAAAAACCAGGTCTCGAAAATAGATATACACTCCAGATACAGGTGGATGTGACACCACTAGACTATGGGCACCAGCACTCACACGTACACACCAAAACAGACATGAGATACACATAGAGTTAAAGTAAAAAATGATATAAAAAGGAATGCCATGGCTGGAGAGATGGCTCTGAGGTTAAGAGCACTGGTTGTTCGCCCAAGGATCTTGAGTTCAATTCCCAGCAACCACATGGTGGCTTACAACCATCTGTAATGAGATCTGGTGCCCTTTTCTGGCATACAGGCCAGAACACTGCATGTATACATAAACAAATAAATGTAGCTATTTCTGCAAATTAAATCACTTGAATATACTAATCAGGGATGGAGAGATGGCTCAGAGGCTAAGAATACCAGCAGCTCTTCCAGATGTCCTGATTTCAATCCCCAGCAACCATGGTGGCTCACAGCCATCTATAATGAGATCTGGTGACCCCTTCTGGCAAGCAGGAATATATGTAGACAGAACACTATATACATAATAAATAAATAAATAATAATCTAAAAAGAGAAGGAAAATACTATTCATTCTTCATTCCCAAGTCCATAACCCATACACAGATCAAAAATTGTTATATAAGACAACTACTTACTGTAATGAATCCATATCCCTTAGATCGACCAGTTTCACTATCCATCATGAGCTGAATACTTTCAATCTAAAATTTAAAAGCATAAATTAGGCAAAACTATTCCTTGAGGTATAGTTTTTAAAAATCTAGACTATATTGTATCCTTACCCCCTTCCCCCAAAGTAATGGAAGACAATACAACTGTTCTTTACAAATAAAATTTTGTCAAGGCCTAGATTTTTTCAGAATTATCCCCTTTGGCAGTGAAATAACTGTCAGTGAATGAAAAAAATACTAAATTTTACCCTTCCAAAAGGCTCAAAGATCCCCCGAAGCATATCTTCAGTTATGTTAAAGTGTAATGAGCCCACATAGAGCCTCATAGGTCCAGCACTTCCCTTTTGTAAATTGTTTGCCATTGCAGCAGCTCTGTTTTTTTCTGCCTGTAAGTAAGAAAAACCCACATTAAATACTAAAAACTAATAAAAGGAGACGTATTTCAATGACAAACAAGGACAAAGACTGGAAAGTTGGAAACTGTAAGAAAGAAAAACTGACACCAAATTGATTTACAGAAAGCGTTGAAAAATAGAAAATTCTGTAGAAAGCACTGGTCAAGGACTAGGGAAAAGGGAAACAGAATTATGGATAAAAAGGTTTATTAGGTCCTATAAAATCATCAGAGGGAAGGATGTTGGTGAGAACAGTACCACACTGTGAATGTCATTACTGGCACTCAAGGGAACTGAAGGATGTGACACAGCATGTCAACTCAAATGTGTGCCCACTATGCAAACTCTCTACCACTGAGCTGTATCCCATGACCCAAAATATTCACATTAGTTGTTGTGTGTAATGTTTTATTATACAATTTTAATAAAGTTTAAAGTATAGGCCAGTTATATACAAAACTATATAGTTCATTTCATACCTAAATACCTAATTCCATCAAATATAAAACTAAGAACCAAAGTAACTTGCTTTGTGCTATCACAATCAGTGATAAATAAAAAAAATTTAGACTACTGAATATTTGTAAACATATTCAGTTTTTTGTTTTTGTTTTTTTAGGTTTTCCGAGACAGGGTTTCTCTGTGTAGCTTTGCGCCTTTCCTGGACCTCTCTCTAGGCCAGGCTGGCCTCGAACTCACAAAGATCCGCCTGCCTCTGCCTCCCGAGTGCTGGGATTAAAGGCGTGCGCCACCACCGCCCGGCTCATATTCAGTTTTTATTATCAAACACACCCCAAGATCAGTTTAACTGAAATTTGAATTAATGTCATCTAAAAACCGAGTAATTTAGAAATAAAGTGTTTGAGGAACCACATACATAAAATCACCTAAGTAAATCATTGAGAAGAGGCCAGACGAGTGTCAGGGTCCCTGACACAAAACAGCTTTGAGCTGCATGTGAAACCTTAAAAAGCAGCAGGTGCTCTGGAACCAAAGCATGTGCTCTTAACTGCTGAGCCATCTCTACTTCCTAGGTAAGACATTACCTTGTTAAACTCCAATCTACATTCTAATAGAAACTCCCTTTCTAGTAAAAAACTGCTATGCACAGAGGTGTACTTACACTCATTGACCAGTACTGCCCCACATGGTGTAAACCACAATCTCACAATGATGTAATCTACAATCTCACTGATTGGCCTTTTCACATAAATTACTTCTATGATCCCACTTAATACCTGTTAGATAAGGAATAATCAATATATAGCAGGGACTTCATCAAATTGGTGACAATTCTCCCCCGTAACCCTTCTATAAGTGCTGACATTGCTGCCTGTGCTGTGACACTCAGCTCAATGACAACCCTCTAAAACAAGAAGTTACCTGTGAGGCCTGTACTATAATTGGCACTCCTAAAACACGCTGGCCAGTTAATCCAATTGCTAGAGGCACTGAACTAACATCAACAAATTCCACATAAGCAATTCCTTTGGAACGTCTTGAATTTCTATCAGAAATCATCCTCACATCTCGAACCTAAAATGAAAAGAAATAATTATTACATAGTCAAATAATCCACATAATTATTTCAACACATAAGAGACTCTTTTGTCAAAAACACTGTCTCAATATATATCCCGAGCTTAAATTTTGTTATGTAGATCTGGCTGGTCTAAAATTGAAATAATTCTGTTACCTATGACTCCAGAGGGCAAGGATTAAATTTCACTACAGGAGTCAGGGCATTGGCACATCTCTTTAAATAAACCATTAAGGAAATAGAAACGGAACTAGGTGGATCTCTGAGTTTTAGTCTGCACTATACAGTGAAAACACAAAAATCAATAATAAAGATAAGATTTCAGTATTTACTCTCATCTTATGTTAAAATTTATATTCTTCTACCTTAGTAATAGGACTACATTATCCAGCATTTGCTCCTAAAATAATAATGGGATAAATGATTAAGTTATCTTTGGGGAAGAAGTTGAAAGTGTGTAACATACAGGACAACTTTAGCGACTCTATTCTCTCCTTTCACCATGAACTACAGGGATGGAACTCAATGTTATCAGGCTTGCTGTTAAGTGCTTTCATCCAAAATGATTTTAGGAAGACCCTGGAGTTTTGATAGATTGTCCTGAAACTAATCGTCATTCTTCTCAGCCAGTTGGTGGTGGCACAAGCCTTTAATCCCAGCACTCAGGATGCAGAGCCAGGTAGATCTCTGAGAGTTCGAGTCCACCCTGGTCTACAAGGCGAGATCCACAACAGGCATCAGAACTACAGAGAAACCCTGTCTCAAAACAAACAAACAAACAACCCAAAAACTAGAACTCCTCTCTCTCTCTTTTTGAAATGTTTTTCTTTTCTCTCTCTCTTTCAAGACAGGGTTTCTCTTTTTTTTTTTTTTTTTTTTGGGTTTTTCGAGACAGGGTTTCTCTGTGTAGCTTTGCGCCTCTCCTGGAACTCACTTGGTAGCCCAAGCCGGCCTCGAACTCACAGAGATCTGCCTGGCTCTGCCTCCCGAGTGCTGGGATTAAAGGCGTGCGCCACCACCGCCCGGCTGGGTTTCTCTTTTTTAAAAGGTTTATTTATTTGTATCCCTGCAAGTCAGAAGAGGGCACCAGATCTCATTATAGATGGTTGTGAGACATCATGTGGTTGCTGGGAACTGAAGCCAGAATCTCTGGAACAGCAGTCAGTGCTCATAACCTCTGAGTTATCTCACCGGCTCCCCAAACACTCCTCTCTGATCCACAAGAGTAGCCAGGGTTATAAGAACATTTAATCACACCAAGGGAAACCCTACTATTTTTATTTCTACATATGAAATTGCCATTTTAGGGCTGGAGAGATGGCTTAGAGGTTAAGAGTACTGGCTGCTCTTCCAGAGGTCCTGAGTTCAATGCAAAGTCACCTGCTGCCCTTATCCTTGGTTACATCCTGAAGTTTGAAGGTAAGTCCCTATTGCTATGACAGAAGCACAATGAATGGAAACAGCAGTTGGAGGAATTCGGCTGGAACTGACCTGGAAGCCTCTTCCCTGAGGACTAGCTCTCATAGTACTGCAAGGTGCTTATACAAGCTGCCAAGGGAGAAAAGCAATCAATAGTCCTACCCTGCTGTGATACCTACAAAACACAATGATGATCAACAGGAATATTTCCCAAAAGGTGCAATGTGGCACTTTTATATTGAGGATTACCAACTAACAACTGTCTAACTGAACATACAGCTGACTGAATAAGAGAGAAATCATAATTGATTCCTGTATTGTAAATCTACTCAACTGCCTATGTCTGTTGAGGCCAAAGATGTAAGATAATAACCGGATATTGCCAGTATAACTTCAAACCACATTGTAAATACTTATCCTTACACCCACCAGTAAGGATAGCTATCCCCATCACCTTTCATCAAAGCTTTTGGCAGGAAATGAAGACAATTTCAGAAAGCACCCACCAAATCATGGTGTGTCCAGGGTCAAATGATACATCTACATCCTATAACACATTCCAATGCACAAGGCTCGGGAACCATCATGGAATAGGGGTAATAAGGACTTTTAGGACGTAGATGACCAGAACACTTTCTGAAAAGAGATCTACATATGACAGGGAATCTGCACTCAGGAAATGTCAACAATACAGCAGCCAAGGTACAGACATTCCAAGGAAAACGAGGAACAATCAGTCTTCTCCAATAAGAACCTAATTGGTTACCCAATACTAAATGGTCAGCCCTAAAACTTTGTGACACCATTTTGCAAACACACACTCTCTCTAACTTTTTTTTTGGTAGCCAGGGCTATCCTAGAACTCGCTCTATAGACCAGGCTGGCCTTGGAACTCAGACCCACCTGCCTCTTCCTCCTAAGTGTTAGGATTAAAGGCATAAGCCACCACTGCCAGGCTGCTGTTTTTTTTTTGTTTTTTTTTTTGACAGAGTGCTTTGAAGCCCTGGCTGTCCTTGAATTCAGCTTATGTCTGAGAGTTTCGGCATCACATCACCCAGGGCCCGCACGATGCCCAAGGGGAAGGTTAGTGCGGACGGGGCAGTGAATGCTCTGCGAGGCTGTTGGCCAAGCCCACCCCTGCTAAGGTGGATGGACGTGAAGCCCAAGAAGGCCGCAGGAAAGGATAAGGCATCAGACAAAAAAGTGCAAAAAAAAGGGAAGAGTGGAGCTAAGGGCAAACGGGCTGACATGGCTGAGCAGGAAACCACAGATGTGCCTGCAGGAAATGGAGAGACTGAAAACCAGAGTCCAGCCTCTGAAGTAGAAGAGAAAGAAGGCAAGCCCGACTAACCATCCACCGTGTCTGTCAGTGTCCCCGCCTCCCTTCTTGTACAACCCAGAGGAATAATTTTATCAACTATTTTGTAAACTATTTTTAGTAGCTCTAGAAACATCTTTAAAATGTGAGAAATCCCACCTCATTCCATTTTTTAAGTGTACATGATTTTTTTAAGAGGTTAAATTACTTGCTGGTTGTTTATTTTTTGGTACAACCAGAAAATGGCAGGATACTGAATCAGGAGAAGTTGTGACTGTCTTGAGGGTCACCATAACATTCGTAGAGGGGGCTAGTTTTATATCCTACAACACGAAGCATACTAAATGGTAATTTGGAGCCTTGGTCTTGCATTTGTGTCTGGAATATTTTCAGTTATCTCTAGTCTTGTTTCTAGAAGAACTGTATCCTAAAAAACCACTTCTCAGTCCTTACCCTGTCAGAACTGTCTCTGGTCACGGCAGTCCATTTTCCTAACAAGTGTGATAATGTACTGTGGAAGATTGAAATTTTGAGTATGAACTGTATGTGGCATAAATTTGTGAGTCAGGGGAATTAATGATTGTGAGCATTTGATTGTAATGTGAGGTCTAAGGGAAAACTTGCAGAGTTAAGGATGGAACATGACTGGAATAAGTTCAAAGACAACACATGGCTCTTTTGGGTATTTGAACACAATGTATGACTCTTAGAATTTCGGTCTATATTTTAAGAATTGAAATGGCTGTGTACCCAATCAATATAGTCTCAGTTGTGAAAGCGCAAAAATAAATAAATAAATAAATAAATAAATGAGAATGTATCGCGCCACACCCAACCATAGTGACACTAATTATTAAAAACACTCCCTTCTACTAATTTTGTGGTCTGTAATGGGGAGTTACCTTTCCTACTGTAGAGAAAAACTCTTCCAAATCCCGTGGTCGAATTCTTGCTGCCAGTTGCATGCAGAAAACTGTCCTTGCGTCTCTTTCCTCAGGAGTTAGATTATCAATAGGTTCCCTAATAGGAGAAGAATCCAGAATTAATGCTGAGTGAGTCATTTTTTTTTTAAGGTGGAGACAAGGTCCCATGTACCATGGGTAGCCTCAAACTCCCGGGGGGGTCTTTTTTGTGTTTTTTTCAAGTCAGGGTTTCTCTGTGTAGCACTGGAAAGTCCTGGAACTCACTCTGTAGATCAAGCTGGCCTCAAACTCCAGAGATCCACAAAGCTCTAACTCCCAAGTACTGGGATTAAACGCATGCACCACCACTGCCAGACCCAAACTTCTGTTTCAACCAAGGATGTTCTTTTAACTGTTTTTTTTTAATATTTAATTTCACCTGTCTATGGCATATTCCTGGGTGTATACAATTATACTAAATTCATATAGAAGCCTATGGAGATCAGCATTATAGATGATTGTGAGCTGCCATGTGGGTGCCAAAAACTGAAACTGTTCTTCTGCAAGAACAGTGAAGCATTCTTATTAATTACTAAGTCATCTTTCCAGCCCCTTATCTTGAAATTCTGCTGTTTCTACCTCCGGGGCTGTAGATTAGACATGCGTCAATCATAATATCCATTTTATGCAGTGTTAGGCATTAAACTCATGAATGTTAGGCAAGCACTCTTACTACATTTGTGCTACACATCTTTTTAAAATTTATGCACTTCTGAGGATTATGCACCACACCTCACACATGACTGAAGTACGTCCTGAGTTCTGAAGCTACATTTTTTTTTTTTGTTTTTCGAGACAGGGTTTCTCTGTGTAGCTTTGCGCCTTTCCTGGAACTCACTTGGTAGTCCAGGCTGGCCTCGAACTCACAGAGATCCGCCTGGCTCTGCCTCCCAAGTGCTGGGATTAAAGGCGTGCGCCACCACTGCCCGGCCTGAAGCTACTTTTAATGTACACTTCAGTAAAAAACATAAACAAGGAGGCCAGCTGGTAGTGGCACAGGCCTTTAATCTCAGCACTGAGGAGGCAGGCAGAGGCATGTGGATCTCTTTGAATTTGAGGCCAGGACAGGCACCATATCTACACTGAGAAACCCTGTCTCAAAAAAACAAACAAACAAAAAGAAACCCTGTCTCGAAAAACCAAACAAAAAATGGGGAAATTTTGTAATAAATGTGAAATGAGATTTAATATATTCATTTGACAAAAAAATTTAAGGATAAAGCACTTTTTTTTTTAAAGATTTATTTATTTATTATGTATACAGCATGTATGACTGCAGGCCAGAAGAGGGCACCAGACCTCATTACAGATGGTTGTGAGTCACCATGTGGTTGCTGGGAATTGAACTCAGGACCTCTGGAAGAGCAGTCAGTGCTCTTAACCTCTGAACCATCTCTCGAGCCCCCAGGATAAAGCACTTTTAAACTTAACAGATATGACTGAAAATACTCAAATTAGGGAAAACAGTAAAATACAACAAATTTAACTTTTCTTTTGGTAACAAGGTCTCATTCACAGGAACCTTGTTGACTTTGTAGTAGTAGCGATGTCCAAAAGCTTGATGTTGAACTTACGGCTATATTTAATCCTCAACCTTGGAAGTGCTAGAATTAATTTTACCAGGTATTGGGCTAGACAAATTTAAAAAAAAAAAAAAAAAAAAAAACAGGGTTTCTCTACGTAGATCTAGATGTCCTACTACTCACTGTATAGACCCAGCACTTGAGAGGAATAGACGCGCAGATTTCTGTGAGTTTGAGGCCAGCCTGGTCTACAAAAAAAACAAAGGGCTGGAGAGATGGCTCAGAGGTTAAGAGCACTGGCTGCTTTTCCAGAGGTTCTGAGTTCAATTCCCAGCATCACATGGTGGCTCACAACCATCTGTAATGAGATCTGGTGCCCTCTTCTGGCCTGCAGGGATGTGTGTGGGCAGAACATTGTATACATAATAAATAAATAAATCTTAAAAAAAAAAAAATCAGAACTCTTAGTCTATTCGCCTAAGGAGCTAGATGGCTCAGCAATTTAGGACATGTATTGCTCTTAAGGACTTAATTTTGGTTCATAGTACCATGTTGAATCCAGCGCCTTGATTCTGAAACCTCTTGCCTCTTACGGACAGCAGTACAGAAATACGTAATTGAAAAATAATAAAAACTTTAAATATGTAATATGTATGATACAAACATGTACACTATTGGGAAGCACTAATTATTCAAAAATACTTGAACTCTCCCCCCATCCCAGGTACAGTAGACAATTTTGTTTGTAAAACTGTAGAAGCAATCCTGCTATTCAAGTGTAATACCACTGTAATGTATACGTCCAGTAAATCATGTAATCTCAAACACATTAAGAGTCAAAGATATAAAACTGAATTAGATACAGAAAAGAACTGAGGTTTTTCTTACAAGTAAACAGAATACTAAGAATTCCAAAATTGGGGTTGGAGAATTAGCTCAGAGTTAGAGCGCTTGCCTAGCAAGCGCAAGGCCCTGGGTTTGGTCCTCGGCTGGGGGCGGGGGTCAAGAAAAAGAAAAAAATTTCCAAAATTTATCAGTTAGGCAGTAGTGACCAATGCATGCCTTTAATCCCAGCACTTAGGAAGCAGAGGCAGGTGGATCTCTGGGTTCCAGGCCAGCCTGGTGTACAGAGCCAGTTCCAAGATTGCCAGGTCTGTTACAAAGAAACCCAACCTCAAAACCCATTACCCCCCCCAAAAAAAACGGAAAAAGGGGGGGGTTGTCTGGACAAACAGCTTGGCCATTAAGAGTACTCACAAGGCAGCTCACACCTGTCTGTATCTCCAGTTCCAGGGCGCCTGACACCCTCGCAAACACACACGCAAGCAAAATACCAATGTACATAAAATAAATCATTAAAAACATTTAAAATGGGAGGGGGGATAGCACAATATCCCCAGAGTCCATTATCAATAGTGTAGCAGAAGCCAGAGGCCTTGACCCAGACAAATGGTTCATAGCATTTAACCCTACAAGTAAAGATGAATGGACTAAAGGGTAAACTGTGCTACTCAATGGGCCACACTACAGCTTCCAAGATGAGATTCTTCTTTTTTTTTTCTTTTAAATTTTGATTTGTTTTGGGGTAAAGGTTTCATGAGCAGAGGGCAGAAGCAAGGGGACTGGGAGGTGAGTGGTATCAGGACACATGATATGAAATCCACAGAGAATCAATAAAAGTCGAGAGGAGGGGGTGAAAAACCATCATTATATAAAAGGTGGTGGTGGCACATGCCTTTAATCCCAGAACTCGAGAGGAAGAGGCAGGTAAGTATCTGAGTTGAAGGCCAGTCTGGTCTACAGAACAAAGTTTCAGGACAGCCAAGGCTACATATACATAGAAAGCCTGTCTTAAAAAAAATCAAAACCATCCAAACAAAAGAATACCAAAATATGTCCGGCAGACGGTGGTGGCGCACGCCTTTAATCCCAGCACTTGGGACCAAGGCAGAGTCAGGTGGATCTCTGTGAGTTTGAGGCCAGCCTGGGCTACCGAGTGAGTCCCAGGAAAGGCGCAAAGCTACACAGAGAAACCCTGTCTCGGAAAAAAAAAAAAAAAAAAAAAAGATCAGCCAGGTTAGTGAAGCATGCTACCATACGACAAAATGTGCCTTGATGCAAAAGGATACATTGTATAGTCTTAAACTTATCAAGGAAATAATTCACACAACCTTCATGAACAGATTATGACCATTCAATTCTGTAAGACACCTATCTAAGATGAAATGCATGTTCTCATGAGACAGTGCCAAACAGTAAAACTTGTAACTGCTGTGTTAGTATACCGTTTTTTTCAAATAATGTCATTACATACTAATTCCATATGAAATGAAGCTGACTTAAAATTATCAGTATAAATTTACTAAAAACCTGCCTCAATTGATATTTTGTTTTTTAGAATATATGAAATTAAGACAGGTGTGAATCCCAGCACTCGGGAGGCAAAGGCAGGTGGATCTGTCTAGGCCAGTCTAGTCTACAAATCAGGTTCTAGGACAGCCAGGACTGTTCCAGACAAACACTGTCTTCAAAATAAAAATGAAAAAGAAGCCGGGCGGTGGTGGTGCACGCCTTTAATCCCAGCACCCTGGAGGCAGAGGCAGGCGGATCTCTGTGAGTTTGAGGTCAGCCTGGACTACCAAGTGAGTTCCAGGAAAGGAGCAAAGGTACACAGAGAAACCCTGTCTTGAAAAACCAAAAAAAAAAAAAAAAAGAAATTGAAAAGCAGTGCTACTGAATGGTCATCATTCTTTTTAAGGTAACAATACTGCAAAAGGAAGTAAAAGACATAATGTGGTAATAATTTTTAGATTTAAATAATTTTTAAATTTAAATAATAGTTTAAAAAGTTTTTTGTTTTGCTTGCAAAATTTTTAACAAATCTAAAAAAGGTAGGGGGAGACAACAGTTACCTCACAGGGCTCTTGTCTTTTCTGAATGGACTTTTGCTTCGGGAACGTCTTCTGCTGCAAGGTTAAAAAGTTTCACAAGTTACCAAAACAAATTAAGATCTCATTAGTTCCTTGAAAAACAATTTAAGCAATTCAGAAGTATGTTTAAAAACCTTAATTTGATGCTATGAGGCAACCCAATCTTTCCTCGGATGGCACTGTTAAATTTTGGTCCGGAGCTAAAAAGAAAACACAAAATTACACTAGTTACAGGTTTAGGATCTTGCTAAGATCAAGTTCATGGGCTCTCCAGCAAGTCTAACATTGTTTAGGCGGCTTCTTTTCTATCTTAATTACAAAGAGGAAACAAAAGTACTTAGAAAAAATTGTAACTTTATCCCAGACCTGTAGCCCTTGTATTTGTCTATCCTGGACCAGTTAGAGGTGCCAAGAACAAAAGTTACAGCCTCAGTATTTTTTCTAAAAAACCTATTGCATCTATTTTAGTTTTTCAATCATATAATTATGAAAACAAGAGTGAGTCTTTGAAAAAGACAAATAGAGTAAAAAACAAATGCCTGTGCACTCTCATCCCAACACCAGTTTACTATGCAGTTCTTTCCTGAAAACTCATGCACTTATATAAACACACTATGCAGTGAAGAATGACCTAGAACTCCTGCTCCTCCTGTCTCAACTTCTAGGAGTAATTGGATTAGTGTTGAATCCCTGAGTCACCATAGCCACATGAAGGACTTTTCTTGTTTGAGAGGGTTTCTCTGTGTAGCTTTGGAGTCTGTCCTGGAACTAAATCTGTAGACCAGGATGGCCTTGAAATCAAGAGATCCACTTGTCTCTGCCTCCTGAGGGCTAGGATTAAAGGCATGTGCCACCACCGTCCTGCAGGACTTTTTTTTTTTTTTTTAAATAAAAAGGTGTGCTTGAGTGTATGTATATAACACCATGAAACTGGTATGTTCCATGTAATTATCTTTTTCTTTTTTTGGACAGGAGATAGCCCTGGTAGTCCTGGAACTTTATACCAGGCTAGCCTTACAAAGACTCTACCTGACTCTGCCTCCTGAGAGCTGTGATTAAAGGCATGTTCCACCACACCCATCCAGCTCTTAAAATATTTTCTTAACACAGGTTCTCACTATGTAATCTTAGCTGGCCTGGAACTCAAAAAGTGCCTGTGTGCAGAGTGCTGGAATTAAACATGTGCCACCGTGCCCAGTTAATGTGTAATAATAGTTTTTAAATTTTTTTCAATTTTATATATATTGGTGTTTTGCCTGCATGTATGTATGCAGAAATCAAGACAACTGTAAGCTGTCACATGGGTGCTGGGAATTGAACCTGGGTCCTCTCAAAGAACAGCCAGTAAGTACTCTTAACCTCTGAGTCATCTCTCCAGCCCACAAGTAATAATTCTTAGAGAATATTACCATATTTAATGTACTACATATGTTTATTGTAGAAAGTATTTATGATACCGATATTTTTATTCTTATTTATTTATTGCTTTCCTGGAGATTACCTGTAGACTAGGCTAGCCTCAAACTTAAAATAGGTAAAACTAATTCACTCATCAGAAAATTTTGAAAATTCAAAGACAATTCTCAATACTAAAATATATCTGTCCCCCTTAGCCTGATTCTAATAGTGTAAAACAGTAAAAGAATTTTTTTTTTTTTTTTTAAATTTTGAGACAGGGTTTCTCTGTGTAGCTTTGGAGCCTGTCCTGGAATTCACTCTGTAGCCCAGTCACAGAGATCTGCCTTCCTCTGCCTTCTGAGTGCAGGGATTAAAGGCGTGAGCCACCACCTCCCAGCATAAAAGGAGATTTTTCACAGTAACTTATAATGCAAATATTTTTGTACCTTTGTAAGGGTAAAGCTTAGTTACAGCGGTCATAAGCTATATATAGATTCCTTAATGTCCAATTATCGTCATAAAAGGACCATCATAGTTCCTTAAATAGGCTAGGTAAAATAAAAAGTGAAAGGGTTTGTTATCTGTATTTGGATAGACTCTATATTTCGGTAATTTTAACAAAAACTTTCTCAACCTATAACCAAGCAGTTTCAAGTAAAATTCATCCATCCCTTCTAATTTAAACTCTAATTTATGTTTTAAGATATTGTACATATATATGCCTGACTTGGCTTAGAATTCACTCTCAATATTGACTGGAACTTAGCTGTGATCTTCCTCCTCTGCCTCACTAACCCCTAATAGGCAATTACTTGAATGATTAATGTTCATTTAAGTATATAATTTGTTATAATTTATTTTTATGTGCATTGGCGCTTTATCTACAGTATGTCTGTATGAAAGTTTCATTCAGATCTTGGAGTTAAAGACAGTTGTGAGCTGTCATTTGTGTCCTGGGAATTGAACCCGGATCCCATAAAAAATATAATTTAACAAGTTATTTTCTCCTCCTTCTGTTTTGAGTAATACAAAATAGTATTTGAGTCAAGATATCACTATACACCCCTGGCTAGCCTGGAAATGTTTTATGTAAAACAGGTTGACCTTGAATTCACAAAGATCTGCCTCTGCCCAACCTGACTAAGCTTCTCCCTTAGTTATAAAATTGTCAAGTTATAGACTCCCCGGTTCAACTGAAACCCAATACAAGTTTAAATAAGTCAGACCAGGATAAGACACAGACACACATACATCATTCATCCAAACTCTACAAACAGTATTTTAAAACTGTACTCATTTAGTTCATCCTGGTAAGACAATTAACAATCTTACTTAAAGAATATAGTGTAACTCTTGATGAAATAATAAAATTTCTCATGTATAATTCAGAATTAAAATAGCATTGTGGCTCCATTATCATCATGTAAAGTCTATAAAATAAGCAATTAGGAGGAATCTAGAAAAGTGACAAGAATCCACACACTCAGGCACATATACTATCATCATAAATGAAAGAGCCAGAACCCAAATTCAAACACCTTTAGTTAATACCAGTATCTTACAAAATCCAGGATTTTGTTGACAATCATCACTATTAGTTTACATCGATGTTTATTCCTTAACAGAAGCTTAGGGGCTGATTCAGTTGTCTTTTTTTTTTTTTTTTTTGGTTTTTCGAGACAGGGCAGTTCAATTCTTAACTACCTAAATTTTTAAAATTAAATGCTTTGATTAAGGGCAATACTGCTTTCACAGAGGTCCTGAGTTCAGTTCCCAGCATCCACACATTTGGAATCTCTCAAATACCTCTAACTCCAGCTCCAAGGTAGGGGGTGGTCCAATGCTTTTGGCCTACACTGACACCTGCACTCACTGGCACCTGGCACCACACACAAATATAAATACTTTTAAAAGTAGTTTTAAAAAGTTTAAAAGTAGCTTCGTTTTTTAAAAAATTAAGGACTTAGGTAAACATTATGGATTGTGGTTTTAATGCTTGTACAGGAATGCAAGTTTCTTTCCATAATACAGGTGAATTTCTTTGTGCATTGGTGCTTTGCCTGCACCAATTGTCCGTGTGAGGGTGTCAGAAGCCCTAGAACTGGAGTTACAGACAGTTGTGAGCAGACATGTGGGTACTGGGAATTGGATTTGGGTCCTCTGGAAGAGCAATCAGTGCTCTTAACACCTGAGCCATCTCTCTAGCCCCAGGGTTTTTTTTTTTTTTTGTTTTTTTTTTTTTTGGTTTGTCGAGACAGGGTTTCTCTGTGTAGCTTTGTGCCTTTCCTGGAACTCACTTGATAGTCCAGGCTGGCCTCGAACTCACAGAGATCTGCCTGGCTCTGCCTCCCGGGTGCTGGGATTAAAGGCTTATTTTGGTTTTTTTTGACAGCTATAATGAAGTTACCTTATATTTCCTTAAATAATGCATGCGAGTTCCTATAACTTAATCTATAAAGCACTTTCAGTTTACTCTAATGCCTTAAATACAAAGTAAGAGTAATGAGCCTAAAAATTGAGCACACAAATTGATGAAGGATTTCAGCTCACCACAGCCACAGTCAAGGTTTTCTACTCGAACTATACAATTTAGATTCATATTTTGTATAATGAGTGTTCTAATAGCTCACAGCTTAGGCTTTCTCTATCAAGCGCTCAAATGCTTTTGTTTTAATTTGGACTGGCAAGCAAACAAATTATTTCCAGCTGGTAGATCCTAAATACAGTCCACATACTGTATTTTCACCTTATTAGCTTCAATGTCAATATCCCTCATTTTAAATGTTGAAAAACGGAATCTCAATTCATATTCCTCCAGTTAATTGCTATCTAAACATCCAAAACAAAAGCTACATACTAGGGACTTCTGTATCGGCCTCGGAATCTTCTATCTCGACTTCGTGAGCGGCTTCGTCTCCTTTCTTTGCTTCTACTTCGTTTCCGTTCCCGGCTTTTGCTCTTTTTCCTCTCTCTATCTCTACTTCGCTTCCGTTCCTTACTTTTGCTTCTTTTTCGTTCATGACTACGGCTTCTGCTCTTGCTTTTTTTTCTCCTGAAGGGGAAAAAAGTACCATTATCTTGCTTGTTTAAATACTAACCAATATATATTTCCTTTTATGGTCAAAATGTTTATCCTTTTGTAAATGTATTTTTACCACTGTACAATGGTACAAAATCATACTTTAAGAAAAACAATTCCTAGGCATGGGACATAAAATACCCCAACCTTTGCTTCATGTTAACTGAAGACAGTCAAAGAATTGAGAGATAGGTTTAATAGAAGAATTTGCAATGATCTCCTGAGGCAGCTACAGCTTGAAACAAGAAACAGGACTTGCTGGTAAGTAGAACATCAAGCCTGAACTTCAAAAACAATTTTACTGCCATTTCCTTAACAGACCACCAAGAATTACTGTAATCTATGAGCTATAGTAATCAAAGTTACAGTATGTTCACATTTACGAAATAGTAATTGTCACATGAAAATTGTCCAAACAATTTAGTTCAAGCATATTTTGATACAATGTACATATAAGAATATTTTTAACTTTCAAAATACCATATACATACCATTTTGGTTTTCATGGACAAAATTACAAGAAATGATAAAGAATACTAAGAATGCAGTAAAACTAACCTTTATAACCCCAGATTTTACTGTGACCATTTATAAGCTTTCCACTTAAAGCTATAATGAAAATGGAAAATGCCCTTTTAAATCTAGTTTATATAAGCCTGTGGGACGCAATTAAAACAACTTGACCTTCCTTGGAAAGTAAAAAAGCCCGTCAGTTATCTTTCCACTCATTTTTGTGTTCCTCACAGTATTTCACCCACTGGTTTAATAATTAAACCTTGAAATCTGTGCCTCTGTCATCACCCAAATTAGAGGTGCCTTCAGATATTTCAATGTAAAAGAACGACATTTTGAAATAAATTTATTCCACCAAAATGTCCCTTTTTAAGTGGTTTGAAGTCTGAACATTTTGACAACTCTACATCATTAGGAAAATTAATTAGCTATATAAACTGTATCAAAGCAAAGTTAGCACAAGAACAACTGAGGTATGCCTCAGAGAACCTGTAAGCAGGTCATCTTAGAGTGCATTGAAAATAGAAAATGAAGACACCCACCTTCTGGAATCTTGAAACCCACACTCCAATCACAAGGAGATGTAGAGCTTTCCAAGGAGGCAGAAACTTTGTCTAAAATTTCAAGATAATCCACCTGACTGTCAGAAATATGCTAGGTAGCACATGACAGAAAATTAGGCTACACTCATTATGTATAGAAGTCAAAGAAACTCCGATGCTCAGAAGGGCAACAATTAACATTCCAACTTTGATGTTTCAAACCCTGACACTGTTTCTTAGGACCGAAGAATTCTAAAATGGCTAAAACCTAAGTCCTACCTATAAATTCGGAGAAAGGGTAAAAATTAATTCCATTCCCCTAAAAAAAAAAGACAGTAAGTTTTTGCTCTGCTAAAAGATAGCCCACAGCTGCGTCAATCTGCCTATTTACCTCTCATAGGCCCCCAATCTTATTCTGCCAAAGGAGTTTAAAATAAATAAAGAAATCTAATTTTAACCCAATGTCTTGCTAGACTTTTCATAAGCAAATCCCCACCCACATCTGAAGGCAACCCCAGATAGGTAAATAGACAACATACTAAGGTATCCGAAAATACAATCTTCTATATGAAAGCTCAGACAAAAGATTAATGTTGCAAGAAACCAAGGTACTTCTCTAGAGCAAATTCCAGCATTAAAGAACATTTATGAACTAAAGAAATAGTTATAAAAAAATCCATCCTAATAGTCAAATCCTGTTACAACTTAAATGGGACTTTCCCAAGTCTTTAGTGGCAGTGGAATTTGTACTGAACATCATTGAAGTAAATGGTCCACTGGGCCTTTGGACTTTTTGGTTATATGGCCTCTGCTGTAAAGGTGTTTTGCTATAACTGGATTTGACCTCTTCCATGTAAGAAGATCTAAATTTTAAATGCAAAGTATTCTGGAAAATAAGAAAAAAAATAGAAAAGTCATTTATTCCAAAATTTGATAATCCACACCAAAGTAGCCAATATATTTTAACTGTGCCATTTTATTGTTATCCTTTTCTAAATGATTCTTTAAAGACTTTAACAAAATGAAGTTTGATTTGAGACTGCAAAACAGGTTACAGCAACAAATACTTCCATGAGGAGTAACCTCAAGTACTTAAGAGCTTATTGGAGGCCTTGACAAAGTCATTGTTATAACTTCAGAAAATAGGCTAACAGGTTGTTATTTCAAACTTTATCCCTTTACTACTGGGATATGATAGTGTGTTACAAGTTAGTTACAATTTTTTTTTAAACAAAAGAGTTTATATATACTTGGTTAACTTTGTCAGAATTTGCAGTTTATATTCTTTCTACCTTACCAGCAACAGTTATCTCCAATTCAATAAAGTTTTAGCATAACCATACAAAAATTACATCTACCTTAAGTTAATACAATTTATCTCAGAGCGGGCAAATACTTGTTTTGCGTTTCACCCAGAGTTCAAAGTTTTCTTCTACATTACTTTCAATTAGTTTTAATGGCATGTTCCTTCAAATCACCAGATAAACACTTTGTAACTAAATTAGGTAATCACCTAATTTAAATCATCTGTAACCAAAAACACCTTGAACATTTTAAAGATATTAATAATTGAAGTGTTTAGGAAAGTCTTCCTTTAAAATATTGAATGTTAAATTGCCCAAATGACTACATACATCAGATAAAACAACAACAAAAAATAAAAATGCCCCCAATCTCTTATAGAATGTGTAATGCTCAAATTTCTCATAAAAGCTTGGTGATCTTCATGAGTTTAGAAACAGGATTAGAAGAATAACATTTGAAGATATTAGTGGGAAGAAGTGACATTAGAGAATAGTGAAGATTTATAATCAAGTTTATCCTCCTCCTTTCCACACTTAAGATAAAATCTTTACTAAGTCAGTAAGCCTGACATCTACAGTCATTTTTGTAAATTAATAGACTCCTGTTCCAGGAATTTTCTTTTGATTATAAAATTGTGAAACCAAAACTTTAGGAAACTGTTACTTTGGCAAAGATTAAAAATGCATGATATGAACCCTGTTAACCTGCTCTCTGCATCCACTTCTGACTAGTAAGGAACCATTCGTGATTCCATCTAATCTTGTGCAAGAAAAAAAATTTCCACAAATCAGACCTTTCTTTTCTCTTAGCATTAATTTATTTTTGTATTTTCTACAATATCTCACTGTGAAACCCAGGCTGGCACTGAATGTATCACCACCCTGCCTTGGCTTCTTATGGAGAATGGAATTGTAAGCCTGTATCACCATACCCAACCCACATATTAAAATTAATCCATTACTACCACATTGAGATTATAAAACCTTGGCTTAGCAAAACCTAAGTGACCCACATTGAACAACTTTTTCATCTATTTTATGAAATTATATCAACCTACCTAACAAAGTTGTTGTGAGGATGACTGAGGTAATTATGAAGCACTTTGAGCTCTTAGGAGGAAAAGAGCCAAAAAGAGTCAAGTAAGTGGCTATTTTATCATTATTTCCATTATGTATTATGGGGTCATGATATGACAAAATGTTTTAGTATGGCATCATAAACATGGGCTAGAACAACTTAATGCACATAACATGACCACATCATGTTAAGAATTACTAATCTTGGAGCTAAATGGTAATTTCACAACCGTGGATAGTCTCCAACCTCATCAATTGGATTCTGTTTAAACTGTTAATATACTTCTTTGTATACTGTATTCTGTGCTACGTCTGTAGCATTATGTTATTTCAGGTTACTCATCTAACCCAAATAAATTACATATTCTTAACAGTCTCCTTAGATACACTAAAGATAAAAAAGTCCAAAACAATGAAGAAAAAAAAATCTTAGGAAGAATTAAGTATGCCCTTTCACTACTACCAAAAGGGCCTCTAAGTAGCAAAGAGCAAAAATAACTCATAGCCCATTCCTTTAGTGAATGAAGGTAAACAGTATTTGCCATGACCGTGATATATTTTTTTCTAATGTAACTCTTCTAATTCAATGATTCTTATCTCCAAAAATTAAGCCAAAGTTACCAAATTTAAAACATTATAGAACTCAAGAGAATCATGGGATCCTTGGAGGGCAAAGTGTCCAGAAGGTCTCTGAAACTATATCCTGAAGTCTACATCGCAAAGTCCATAATTTTATATCTTGAAGGACTTTCTCATCCAAAAAGGTATGAGCAGTTTTCTAAGAAGTGAAGAAAACCATAGTTTGATGCTTTAGGCACAAGAACACAAGATTTCCACCACAAGAAGTTTAGAACCCACCCTCCCAGGTTCCTTGTTCAAACTTACTTTTTGCTACGTTCTTCATGGCCGTTAGCACTGCTCAACTTGTTCTCATCCTAAGCAAGGTTGATAGAAGAACATCATGAGGACGAAGTGGTAACATTTCAAGTTGTCAAAGGGTAAAGGGAATAGGAATAAGAAAATACAAGACAATTTTAAAACTAATTACTTATTTAGTTTAACATGGAAGGCTATAAAAAAAATTTAGATGGTATACGTTTAACCACTTTGTTGCTAATAATTAAGTCATCAAGAAACAAAAATTAAAAATCTTTCCACATTAACATGTTATATTTTACTTTCTTACATTGTTTAGATATTAAGTTATCCAGAGTTACAACGTTGAAGTGGTTAAATAGTGTTTCTATGAACATGAAGTCATTGTGTTTTATTCCATGTGCTATTGTCCCTTTTGTCGGTACCATGGCTCTATTTCTGCCTAAGCCCCAAGTGGCCACGCTAGCAGCCAGCCACTATCGATTTCCTGTGACCGATGCCATTCCTGAGATCTTCGCCCATTTCCGTTGGAGGGTTGGGACTGTAAGAGCTTGATGCCACCTCTGTCACACATCTCGCCCTGAAGCAAACAGGGATTCACACTGCTTTAGTAATGTTGACTCCCAAGAACCCAAGAAAAGTTAATTAATAATCCACCAGTCCAGCCTAAACATTTCCTACTTCCATACCTGTTTACATGGATTACATCCACGTTAAACTCAGACAAGAAACATTAAAACAGAAAATATGTCTTCAAGAAAATACGTCTAGCATTATAAAATTACACTATTTAAAACTATCAGAATTCATCCAAAAGGAACCACATGGTCGTGCTACACTCCAAAACAAATGTATTATTTTTAAACGGTTTAAGCGCAATGTTTATTCAGTTTGAACACATCAGCTATAGTAGTATATATGCTAAGTTACAGAGCTTAAGGTTGCGACACCAGTGATAATGCATGCATACTGCTACTTTCACCACCAACTGGGGGAAAGAACGAAGAGTGTTTACTTTTACTGTGATACTGAAACGGGTCATATTGTATTACTAGCCAAAATAATTCCTTTCTAGTTTTTAGTGTGAAATACTATGGCAGGGCCTAATTAAAAACAAAATACTGTGGAGAACAGTAAAACAGTCATCAAGTGACTCTAATCTGTGACACTGCCTCTTGCCTTTTATTTTGGTTTTTTTCCTTTTCTTTCTTTTTCTCTTTTTCTTTCTTTTTCTTTTCTTTCTTTCTTTTTTTTTTTTTTTTGCTAATTTCTATTCAGGGATCCAAGAATTTTAGTAATTATTAACTGAAAAGCAGATCAACACCTGCCTGTTTTAAGGTTATCACCAGCCTTATGTCTATTTATATAAAATAAATTTTAAATCTCACCCATTTCTTCTTCTTTAAAGACTCTTAAGAAGATTTACTTGCCATAGACTGGTTATGATTTATTCTTGGACCCCTGCTATTTTCCCAAACCACTACATTCACCTTTTTTGCTATACCAAACTGGAGCTGTTAATTCTTAGTTGAGTCATTTTACCTAGGGGACCACGGTACAGCGATAAGTCACTCAATTACTACCTTATGATTGACAGTTCACACTGGAATCAAAGGTGAATTCATGGGAGTAGAGGTGAGATATCGTTAGGCAAGTCTACAAAGAGAGATAGATGGGCATTTATTCATCACGCTGAAGTGAAACTACTGCACAATATTATTACATCAATAGCATATATTTACTTTTGTAAGTTATACGTAATGCATCTCTGATAAGATAATCAAGAGGGCTCCGGGAAGGTTAGTTTACATTTCAGCAGTAGTTTCGTGAATAATGCTAAATTAAGAAATATATTAAAGCTCACTGACATGTTTTTCTCACCTTCTTGTAAGGAGCCTCAAGCATTGCTTCAATATCAATATCGTCTGCCATTTTCTCTACACGCCTAGGAAAGAACAAGACAGTCCTGTAAGTAAACAACTTCCAATTCTCCTAAAATAAACTTTCTTCCTCCTTCTGCAAAATTCAGATTTTGAGCAAAGTACTTAAAATGCCCTACAATGACTAAAATTGTGCGATGCATGTTAGTATAGACTTAACTTGGGTAAGCAAATGTGAAATGCTTCTTTCATCGCTCACACCAACAGAACTAACGTCTGATTTCAAAAAGCCGCCTATGAACCCCTGAAACCGAACCTCGGAATATGAACCAGAGGGCTTCCTTCGGCGCAAAACCCGCGCTGCCATTTTAGCGGCGGAGGGAAACTCCCTCTGTTGGGAGGGGTTGTGTACCAAGGTAGCATTCGACAGGCGCCATGTTGGGAGGTCGCGACCAGCCCCGGCCTCGAAAGGACAGATCTTTATCTGTCCGAGGTCCCCAAGGAGGTCCATGCCACCACCAAAGTATCCACGGTGCCCTTGCCAGAAATGAAAGGCGCAGCCACGGACATGAAACCGACCTTGCCGAGAAGTCCCCCACCCCCGCGCGCTGCTCAAAGCGGCCAGAAGCTTCCCTCAGCACCTCGGACCACCCGACCTCAGAAAAGCTGACCCCAGGCAGTCCGCGACGCCCCGTACCTGTGCGGGCTTTCGCGCGCCTGTGCTCGATTCGGGAAGTCTGCTGCCGCCGCCGCCGCCGCTGTTGCTACTGTTAAGCCCCTAGGCCCAGGCCGCGGTACCGCCCAACCCGAATATCGGGCCCCGAGGGCGTCTAGGCCCAAGCGAATCTAAAAGAAACAATGGGATTAAAGGAGCCCGCGCGGGTGAGCAGGGCAGCGGCTTTGGCAGCTCAGGATCCACCCCTGCGACAGCGTCGGCTAGCTCTCTGAAATGGCGGACGCTGCTCCTCCGTACTCACATTCACCAACACACATACACACACACAAACACCCGGGGTCTCCCGGAGCCTCAGCACGGGCTCTCGCGAGAAACTGCCCAGCGTTCCAGACTGGAAAAAACGAAATATCGCGAGATCTCAGTACGGCTCCGGCGACGGTAGCCAAATCTCGTGCAATGATTGCGCCACAGACGAGCCCATCCCCCTATCCCCCCCAATTCGGGAAGGCTTCTCAGACTCTCCCCCCCCACACACACACACACACACACCCGCCCCGCGACAAGCTAGGCATCGAAATCTCGCGATGCTACGCTGTCTCTAGGGCAAAGACAGTTGGTGCACTGTCTGTCAATCTTTACAAGAACGCCTTGCTGAGTGGAGCTTTGCTGTCATCCCGACTGGTGTCGTCTCCTCGCGGGGTGTGAACGTTTCCCCCCCCACTCACAGCCGACCTCCCCCGACACCCGCCTCCCACCCAGATGGCTGTCAAGGTCGCCATAAGGCAACCTATTACAGTACCTAAGGCTGTAGGGTAAGACGTTCGTTTCCAGATTCACTGATGGTGAAAACGCAGCACACGAGAGTAAGCAGTCCCCAGGGGAATGGAGGAGAATAAAAAGCACGATTTCCTTGTCATTCGGTGTCCCCGGTTAGATCCGGCCTCGATGGGGAAGCTTCGAAACACCCTTGGAAACTGAAGAAGGGGGGCGAGGTGGGAGAAATGATTTCCCTCACTAGTGTGTAGCTTCCTACTCCCGGAATTTAGTTGGGCCATGTGTCAGGATCGCTTGCTACTTTAAAAGTATCCCCTCTTTTCCCTAAGATTTTGGCTGTCCACGTGTAAATTTATCGTTTTTGTTATTGTTGGGTTTTTATTTTGGTTTTTTTTTTTTTCCCCAGATTTTTTTTAGGGGGTTAATACTGTGGCAGAGGAAAAGCTGAGAGGTCATTGTAAGATTTTTTTTTCCCTTTCATATAAAAGAAAATGTTTGAAATAAAATTAAATATCAAACCAGTCTTGAAACCTATCAGCAACTTGAGGGTATAAAAGATTCAAACACCTTGATTGGTGTAGCTGTTCCAACACTGTGTGACCTTGGGCAAGTAAATTAAGCTCTCAGAGCATATATTCAATTTCCACCTCATAAGGAAGGGGGAGAATATTATAATTAGAAGCAAGGGGAAGTTTGACACTGACCAAGGCTGCAAGTGTTCACCTATGAATTCCAGGTTTAGCAGGGAATGTCTATCCAGGTGAATTCTCCATGAAATGAATGAAGGCTCGTTAGGAGTAGGATGAAGATATGATGACTGAAATGCTGGGAAAATATGTTAATCACTTCTAAGGGATGGCAGTGTAGCTCACTTGGCATATTGCTTGCCTAGCATGCCTGATGTGAGCATGTCTATAATTCCAGCACTCAGAAAATAGAGGCAGGGAGATCTTTGTGAGCATGAGGCCAGCCTAGTCTACATGGGGAGTTCTAGGCCAGCCAGAACTTCATGGTGAGACCCTATCTCAAACAAACAAGACCTAGAGGACATGTAACCATAAAGAGACCCAGCGCTTAGGAGGCAAAGTCAGGAAGAAGTCTGTGAGTTCGAGGCCAGCCTGGTCTACAGAACACGTTCCCTGACAGCCAGGACTACACAGAGAAACCCTGTCTCAAAGAAGGAAAAAGAGAGAGGCTTTCTCTCTAGGATGTGGTAGACAGCCTGGGATCCCTGCTAGTTCCTACAGAAAGACTACACTTCCCAGCCTCCCACCCTGTACGGGGCCCTACCTCTTCCTCTGCAGGCATTTTGACCGTGGGGTTGGAAGGAGACAGAGATGGCCCCTCACCCTGAATAAGTATGGTCTTGTCTAAGGTCAGATAAAGCCCCTCTCTGGCCTCTGTCTTTTTACAGCTGTCCTTAATTAACAATGCTGTCCTGGGCTGACAAGTCAAGGACAGCTGTGACACTTAGTGAAAGCCTATGGAAGGACGAAGGGGAGCTGGAGAGCAGTTCAGAGCACCGACTGCTCTTGCAGAGGTCTGGGGTTTGATTCCCAGACTACCACACTTCAAGAGGATCTGACGACGCCATCTTCTGGCCTCCACAAGCCAGACATGCGTTCCATGCACAAACTACATGCAAGCAAAATACATGCACATTAAAAATAATAATATGCCCGGTGATGGTGGCCCACGCCTTTAATCCCAGCACTAAGGAGGCAGAGGCAGGTGGCTCTCTGTGAGTTTGAGGCTACCCTTTGCTACAGAGTGAGATCCAGGAAAAGTGCAAAGCTACACAGAGACTCCCTGTCTCCAAAAAAAAAAAAAAAAAAAAAAAAATATGCTGGGTGGTGGTGGCCCACACCTTTAATCCCAGCACTCTGGAAGCAGACCAAGGCAGTTCTCTGAGTTCGAGGCTGGCCTGATCTACAGAGTGAGATCCAGGACAGGACAGGCTCCAGATACACAGAGAAGCCCTGTCTCAAAAAAAAAAAAAAAACAAAACAAAACAAAAAAAAAAGAGTTCCAGCTTGCTGGTCAGTGGTGGTGTACACCTTTGATCCCAGCACTCAACTCCCTAGACAGAAGCAGGTGGAACTGAGTTCAAGGCCAGCATGATCTACAGAGTAAAATCGAGGACAGCCAGGACTACACAGAGAAATCCTGTCTCAAAAAAAAAAAAAAAAAAAAAAAAAAAAAGTTCCAGGTGGCTGGGCTATAGTGGTGCACACATGTAATCCCAGGATTTGGGATATGGAAGCAGGAGGATAGGCAATTCCATGACAACCTCAGATACAAGGTAAGTTCATGGCAAGTTGGCGTTACATGAGGAAAACCCTCTCTAAAAAAATAAAACAAACAAAACCCAGCATTTCAGTCTTGCCACCAAGCTTAGTGCTGCAGTAAAGGATGGCTAAAGGACGCTTGAGGCATGCCCGTAATCCCAGCACTTAGGAGGCAGAAGCAAGAAGTTCACCACAAGCTCAAGACTGACCTGCTCTACATAGCAAGACTCTGTATGCCTCCCCAAAGAAAAGAAACAATAAAATAAAATTGGTCTTTTACAGGCTAAGATGTTCACAATAAGTAATAATATTCCTTTAATCCTTTTTCTGAAATTTTATATTCTTCCATTTGTGTGTGTTTCACTTTGGCTAGAATACATGGCTTTACCCATCCTAGGCAAGAGTTTGCTACTGACTGAACTGTAACCCCAACCTCATTATCTTTCTGTTTTTCTTTGGGTCCCACATGCTAGGAAAATGCTCTACTACTACACGTGTGTCCCTAGGCCCCCCTCTTTTAATTTTACATTTATTTACTTTTTAAAAAGAATTTATATTTAATGTAATCTTGGCTGCCCTGGAACTCACTCTGTAGACCAGGCTGGCCTCAAACTCACAGAGACCTACCTGCCTCTGCCTCTGCCTCTGCCTCTGCCTCTGCCTCTGCCTCTGCCTCTGCCTCTCCCTCTAGGTGTTGGGACTAAAGGAGTCTCACCACTACACCCAACACGTCTGTTCCATAGAGAGGTGTGCTAAGGATTTTGTGTGAAATATCCTATAGTAACTCAAGCTACCCTTAGCAGAAGAGACACAAGAGATCCAACAGTAACTCACAGAGCAAAAGAAGTACCTTACTTTTATAGACTTTAGAGGAGAAAGGTCTCTAAAGTTTAGTGAAGGTACTAGATAGGATATAAAGTACTAGACAGGAGATATGTGGGGAGTTGCCTGCAAGTATGTCTGTATGTGCACTCAATATGTCTGGGCCTGCTACTGAAAGAGACCAGAAGAGGGTATGTGGTCCCCTGGAACTGGAGTTACAGATGGTCTGTTAGCTGTCATGTGGGTATTGAGAATCGAACCCAGACCCTCTCGAAAAGCAACTTGTACTCTTTGTTGTTGTTGTTGTTTTGTTTTGTTTTTAGAGATAGAGTTTCTCTGTGAAGTTTTGGTGCCTGTCCTAGATCTTGCACTGTAGACCAGGCTGGCCTTCGAACTCACAGAGATTGCCTGGCTCTGCCTCCTGAGTGCTGAGATTAAAGGCGTATGCCACCACTGCCTGTCTAGCAACTTGTACTCTTAAACACTAAACCAACAAAAACTCTCCAGCCCAGACAGAAGGACTTAACCCAGGCTGCCTTGGGTCTGGTCTGAAGGAAACTAATCCTATTGTTCCACCCACTTGCTAGTAAAAGAATTTGATAGGCTCTAAGGCTGGATGGGCTTCACCAGGGTAGTGTCTATGATCTAAAGGTGACCACTGATGTTTTCGTTTTCAAGGCAGGATCTCATACCTTAGCCCAGGCCAGTCTCAGACATACACTACTATTCCTGCCTCGGCCTCCCAAGTGCTGAGATGACAGACCTGAGCTACATGACTCCTTTTTATTTGTTTTTCTAGATGGGGTTTCTCTGTGTAGCTTTGGTTGTCCTGGAACTCACTCTGTAGACCAGACTGGTCTCAAACTTAGAGATCACTGGCAATAACTCATAACTTTCTCTCTCTCTCTCTCTCTCTCTCTCTCTCTCTCTCTCTCTCTCTCTCTCTCTCTCGGTTTTTCAAGACAAGGTTTCTCTGTGTAGCCCTGGATGTCCTGGAATTCACTTCTTAGACCTAGCTGGCCTGGAACTCATAGACCTGCCTGCCTCTTCCTTCCCAGTGCTGATATTAAAGGCCTGTGTCTCTACCATAGGCATGATCCTTAATTTTATTGGTTTGGAAATAATTTTACCTTAACCTGTAGATTTCTTGCTTGCAAAGAAGAGGTATTTAGGTTCTGGGAGTCTAGCTCTGTTGGTTGGGTGTATCCCTAGTTTATACAAAGTTCTGGGTTTAATTCCTGCACCAAATAAAACCAGACTCCACAATGAAAGCCTGGATACCAGCATTCTGGAGATGGAAGCAGGAAGACCAGGAGTTCAAGGTCACCCTGGCCAACATAGTTTGATTCTGGCCTGGGATACTGAGCTAGGTGAGACCCTGTCTCAAAAAAAGAAAGAAGAAGAGGGAGATATTGAAGTAGGGTTTAGGGCCAAGTCACTTAAAGTTTC